ATAGAAATTTAAATGCTTTAACAAAACGAGGAAAATTATGTTAGTATTGCGTAATAATAAGCACGTTTCTGTTATCTGTAAAGGGAATCACAATTTCGGCATTTTACGAGTGATTCGTTAAGTAAATTATGTGTAAAAGTTACAAAATGAAACATAATTTACAATTATGTATTTCACAATTCAAATATTTTATTATCTTCGCTTAGGTAGTCGATTATTATTAGGTCCAGCCTTACATCGTTGGTTCAAACTCAAATAAAAAAGATGGTTAATTAATTTTTGATTTTTTTTATTAAATTTAAAATAGGATGTAGTCTTGGGAGCCCCCACCCCGACGCCGTGTCGCGCCTCTAGTCTTTCGAGCAAAGTATATTTCGACGGACCAGCCGGTATAATCAAATCCCACTTTGATTTTGTCTTCGATACAGAGTGTTTGTCTGACAACTCGTGCTGTGATATTTGTTTCGTAATAGTTTTTTTTACATTTTATATTCTTTATTTAAATTAAATTAATTAAAAATGGTAAGTCGATACATATTTTTTTATTAAATTTATTTTCATCGATATAAAAAAATTACTGATGAGGGGTGAAAAAATATTATTATAGTGTATAAAGTTAATAGGTTCTTAAATAATTATTAGAATACAAAATATTTTTACAACATTCCAAAATTAGTAATAAATTTTCTTAAGAATCGACCGCCATAGATAAAAATTCAATTAAACAGCATTTTTTACTATCCTAAAAATTCTGAGAAAGAGCTCATTTAAAAATTGTTGCACGTGTCATGCCAACTAATAATTTCCGAAAATTATTCGTAATTCTCCTGCAATTTTTCTCGTTGCATTTTTTGTTACCATGCACCGATTTGATCATTAAGGAATTGCAAATATTACATCTCATAAAATTGAATCAAAAATTTTATTACCGACTCCCACCACTAAATTCTCAATCAGAAATATCATTTGCCTTTCATAAAGTTTGTTAATATTTAATCGAGCTTTTTCTAATTTTAAAGCCGCGAGAGACTCCTGCCTACTTACGAGTTAATTTAATTCAATAAATAATGATTTGATCCGGTGTAAGTATAATTTTATGAGAATTGCTTAGAATTTTGTGGTGAGCGATTCCCATTAATTATCGTATCGTGCAAAAGGGAGCCAATTTGGAAAGTTACTTGCAATTAAATCTATTAAAATGACCGAATAAAACGGAAAATTCCTCTTGCGAAGGCTATACCTGACATTACTTATGTAAGAGATTATTGACCTAATTCGGTGATTAAATTTTCTGCGTGGGTACTTTTTATTTCGAATTAACGCTTGGGAAAAAAACGTGGTTATTATAAGGCACCTTCGAATAATCGAATCGTAATTTTTTTTTGTCTTATAATTAGTACATTTTATTGGCAAAGTACCTAATAAATTTAGTAAGCTTAAATTTTAATTGCGCAAATATCTTCGAGCCAAATTTAAATTAAATGTTCCTATTATCTTTTGATGGCAAAGGCAACTTTATTATAGTCTGCTTTTTAGAACATGGGACAGTGCAAGTAAAGCTTTATGAAGTGAAGCTTTATTTATTTATTTATATTACATATCAAAAATATTTTCTTTTTAATACATGAATATCTACAGTTTATAAAATTGGGTAAAAAAACTTGACCTTTACAAAAAAATATCTACTTTGATATCCATTTAACGGTCATTTTTTATTTAATTTATTCGCCTGGTATCGATAAAGTGCATTTAATGTCCCCTTCGTGTTTCCTTACGTTTCAAAAATTAGTGAAATTTTTCCATTAATTGATTAATAAGAAAGTACTTTCACATTTTGCCCGCCTTGTGCTCATTTACCTACAGATAGGTTACTATAATTTTATCCGTAATTTTGTATCAATATTTTTCTTCGATTATTAGATTTTCTCTTTTAAATTGCTCCATTTATATTTAAAATAATCCAGGACCTGGCCAAAACGAAACACGATTTAAATGCTCAAATAATTAAAATGTAGATTTTAATTAAATCACTAAAAATCGACATAAATTAGAGTCACACTTGCCCCATTAAATAAATTCAGATTTAATCCATTCATTATTTTTGTTAAGAGATTATTGACCCCATTATTATGTATTAGTACAATATTTTTCACTGAACATAGGAATTGTTTTTTTCAATCACATTGATACAAAATGAAAACAAGACAGCTTCGAGTAAACGCAAATTACTATAATACATCGTACACGATAAATGCTGTATAAATCAATTTTATTCATACTTTAAATAGTTTATGAATGAACTTTACAACTTTTTATCAATGTGTTCGAATAAAATCAGATCCAAGTATTCTATATTTTTTGCTTGTGTAAAGATTAGAAATGGAATCGTGAATGTAGAAGAAAAATGGATATTTTCAAATTATACTAGGTTCTTATTTAACATCAGATTAAAATAATCAATAAAAAAATCTTTAATTTACTGTTCAAAGGATTCTCTTGCTCCAACAGGCAAAATAAAATGAAATCATGGATTCGTCGAGATTTTGTTTTAACAGGCGCATGTAATGCTTACCCACTCGTGCATTTCAGATACGATCTACAAACCGAATAACGAATGTTCACCACTTTTTTCAACCTCATCCACTTTTTTTTCATTTTATCTCTTAACTTTCCATTTGTACACAAATTGCCGGTTAACCGTAAACCGTAATGAAGAAAACGTGGACTTTAATTTTTTTGAAAAAAGTAGGATTATTTTATCTTGGATTGAATCGCATGAATATTAGTGCAGTTGAAGTAGGTTTTTGCACCAATACAAATTATTTCCGGTAACATCTTATTGTAATGGACGATAAGTGAATAAATAATAACGTTAACAAAATTTTCCTAAAATTATACTGGAGAATTTCATCACTTATCCGCTAAGCAATGATTACATTTCCTGCTTAGAATTTAATTTTGAGCCGTTGAGTGTTGTAACTTTTTATCTTCGGCTTTAACAATTTTATATAATTGTGTAAATTATATTATGACATATTTCGAAATTTTTATAAAATTATCGATTTTTCGTATGTAATCAAAACGAATTAGTTCAATGCCATATTTTCCAACGGCATGCAAGTTTTTTTTACACAAAATCAATAATGTTTAACAAAAATAATTATTACTAGCTATACAAAAATGCAATAAATCAGGAAACACTATTATTAATTCGACAAAACTGAAATACAACTGCTGGAAACGTTGCGTAGGTGGCTCTAATAAATATATTTAAAATAAAATTAATTTCTTATTGTTAATTTCGCGTGACTTTCCGAATCTCCTACAGCCATAAATACCGTTGCGGAATATTAAAAGCCCGACACCTACGCCAAACACGAAAAGTACAGTAAAATTAAGTGAAAATTATTATTTTCAAACCGCAACTCCAAAACGTGGTCGCTAAAACTTTGGTATATTTCGAACAATACTACAGCACTTTTGAATTTTAATCGCGAATATGGAATAATTATTTCATTATGAAAGGAACTTTGCGCTGTAGAATCAAATTGAATCTTGAGTAGGTTGAAATTTATGTGAATTGGTAGATTTTATTGGTCTTGATTGAATCAGGAATTCTGCCAAAAACATGCACTTACTGAAGGTTTTGAAGTTTAACTATCTTTTCTTCTAACAGGTGTTTATTAATTGTCATACATCCGCTCTTATACGAGTAGATAAAATACAATAGTTGAATTATTTGCTTACTACGAACAGCGCAATATTAATTCGTTCGTAATGACTCGTAGTAGGAAAACAAACGTATGAATGAAATTATCTGAAGAAAAACAATAACAATTTACTCCAGCTACCAAAAGAATGCTACCTGGCATCAATCAATCAAACGATTTAGATGCGATGGTAAACAATATTCAACTGAGGTCAGTGTATTCCTATCAATTGCAATATTTTATCAAACTAAATTTATTTTTGAAAACCAAACGATTGAAACTACTCCAAACGGTTTAAACTTTAATAGAAACGCTCCATAGCAACAGTGCTATTTTATATACCACCTAGTTAACGAAACGATAATTTTTTCAGTTAAAGCGAGCATGCAACAACTGAAACAAAAAAAAATTGGCATCAATTAAAACCGTCCGATAAGCGATTTTCTTTGAACCTACCGAAGCGATGCCAAATTAATCGCATAGAAACCGCGATGAATGGCACATAATGCAGACTGCACGGTGCCGTCGGAGCGTTCCTAGAAATAGAATGGACTAGCTGTTGCTAGGCGCACTCGCATGCACACCGGCCAGGCTAGACTTAACTTTTGCCAGCAAGCATGCACGCAGACCAGACAGCCTATCGGCCGGCTGATTTATTTGGAGGTTTTCTTATGCACTTGATGAAAAACGATGAACGCAAAAACGTGACGCGGAATGCCGATTGCGAATATTCCAATGTATAATTTGTACAGGTGTTCAATCGATTAAGTATACTAGGAATAGCGTAGATAGGTGCCAAGTTTCGAATTATTGTATCAAGCTCGAATGACTAGGTCCCATTTTCTTACCTCTGTCCATAGTATCTTTAACAGTTTTTATTGATTTGTTCTTTAAAAGAACACTAATATTGTGTGTAATTATAAATATTTACAATAAAAACCCTGACCATTGTTTAGAAGAAAATTATCCAATTTATTAGTTTTGATGAATGTTCACAATAATTTGTTCGTTGACCCAAAGAAAAGCCTACTGGAAACGTACCGTTAACAAAATTATTTACAAAACACAACATACCCTAATTAAATTCTGCTAAATTGAAAAATTCTAGTTCTACTACGCAATTTCGCGTTTTACAATGCACCTACTCAAAAAAATGCTCGAATTAACAACCATTAGATAAACCGACCTTGCATGTACACAACAAGAAGACGAATAGTCAAAAAAATATCGGATCAAACACAAAAGACATTGACATAAACGTTTATCATCAATCGCACGTTTCTTTTCCAGATGATCCTATCAGTATTAATCCTAACAGCGACCACTCTGAACCAAATCGCCTGCAGGCGACTCGAAGACATCAGCAACGAGGTGAGCAACAACCCCGAGGAGAATCTGTCGTTCTCGTCGGGCGAATGGGTGAAGATCAGCAATCCCCCCGTACCGGTGATGACGAAGAAGTTCGGCGCTCACATGGAACTCCATTGCGAGGCGATGGGGTCGCCGCCTCCGACCATACAGTGGTACAAATCGAATCGTAGGATAACGGAAAACGAGGTCTTCGAGACAAATTCGATCATGAGAAACGCCGCTATCGCACAGGTACTGATCGAGATAAAACAACACAACGTGGAGCTTATTTATAACATTCAACAGGTTTCCTCGAGACTGGTTATAAACTACTTATTACCGAGACACCAGGACGTGTACAGGTGCGTGGCGGAAGCGGGAACCAAAGTCGATACAGCAGCGACGAAATTGATCGTTACCGATGGTAGAGAAATGAATTTCACTCAGTTACTTAGCGCCAAGATCCTCGGAGCCTACCATCTGCCGAGGGTGACGTTTTGGGCCACCACTTACATGGACGTTATAGGTAAGATTAGTTACAAAGCAACAAATTGGATAAGGTCCTAATTCGCTGTTTGTTCGCAGGCAACGATGTGACTCTGCCCTGCAAGTTCGTGGGTAATCCGCGACCTAGCGTCATTTGGTTAGATTCCAACAGCAAGGTCATCGAGCAAAGCGAAAAGTTCTCTTTATCCCAAGAGGGCGAGCTAAGAATAAGGTCCCTCGAATGGACGGATATGGGCGCTTATGTATGTGCATTAGAGAATTCCGTAGGCGAAGATTCCATAGAGACCTTCTTATATCCACTGCAGGTAAATATACCACAGAATAATAATAATCAAAAGAACTATGAGTCAATACTATGAGTTGAACAAAGGATGCTTATTAAAATATATGAATTATATGAAACTAATGGAAGTTGTGTTTGTTGCATCCATAAACCATATTCCAAGCAAATTTGCACTTACCTCTGTATGTTATCAAAATAAGCAATATTTCTATACCTAAAGGGTATAATTCTTTGGGTATAATAATATAGTGTAAAAAATGTGCAATTAATGCATTATTGCACTGAATTCTTTAGCTTAGTGTTTATCATCAAGTACTTATCAATAATTTATTTGTTTCAGGGTTCGAAGTAACTAAGAGCAAAATGAAATGGTTCTCTCTTCCAAATCTCATTCTAGTCAAATTTTCTTAAGCATTCCAAGGTTTGCTGAGCTTGGATATTTTTTAAATTAATTTATAAAATTAGTATTTATAATTTAGGTATTAATAGTTTAATAAATTATGTACTTATTTATATTGATGTATAAAACAGGAAATTTTAAATAGTTCCAATTAAATCATTCTGAGAAAAAATAACAACAGCAGTTTCATTTCTGTGCCTATTACCGTCCTCGATAGGGGACTCGTTTGTTTACTTCGATAGCATGAAAATTTGAGAATGATTTGTATAATATACATAATACAACAAAATATACAAAAACCTTAGAAGAAATCCATTAACAGATCGATAACTAAATAAAGAACGCACTTACCGATTATACTTGCAAAATCATCACATTCATTTTGAACAATAATCGAAGGATTAAATTAATTTAGAAAAACTGGAACGTTTGACCAATCAAATTTGAAAGTGAAAAATGTTGAGGCTTCTTTTTATGACAGATTATGGCCTTTTACTGTTCTCGTCATTGTAATATTTCTGAATTTCGAACTGAATTAACTAAACAAAATAAAAATCTTTTTCTCTATGGAATTAACCATAGAGTTAACCATAGAGTCCTTTATATATTTAACATAACCATAGTAAAATTACTTCACTTCTTATTATGAAATGAATTCAATTAATTTAATGATATTCTCGTTACAGTAACTCAAGCAATACAATTCAAATAATAACGTTTTTAACTTTAAATAACAATTGTAGTCGTATTTACAAACTTCTCTAAGTTTTAATATATCGCCATTGTTCCTTAAATTTGTGAAATATTCATCTGCTTCATCTTGGCTTTCGATACCTAATAAATCCGAAGCCTGCTTCAAAATGGTTTCTTCTAATAAAAAATAAAATGCATTAATGTATCTTTGTACGAAGAAGGCACTAGATTTGTCTGAAAAAATTGTAATAATTATTAAGTTATTACTAAAATTAATAAGCTGTACATACAAAAGAACAAATATATACTTACTTTGAGTAATCCAGGTGTATCGAAGGAAATTCCTTTCTGAATTTATAAAATTTTTGTGCTTTGATATCTTATCAAAAATATTTTCTAATAAATCAGTCTCGCCCATATTGAGCAAAGCATACGATAAAGTTATATCAGTGTTTCTATTTTCTTGATTAGCAATATTCCTAAATCTATCAGAAAGGCTTTTGTCAACATCATTAATCCCTAAAATCTTCTTCATTAGGATTTCGTTTGGTTCAAAAATGTATCGCTTTTTTACTTCTAGTAGGCTCTTATTTGATAATTTCTCTTGCATTTTTTCATTTAAAATATCTGAAAATATATATAGGTAATAATCGGTATTGCATACTAACTTTTTCCAATACAAAATTATTACCAATTTTACGTCTTTTTTCTCGTTCACGATTAATTTTTCTTGTATAGTAACGAAGGCTTCGATTATTTTCATAATTTTCTAAATCCGAAGTTAGTTCTTCTGCAAAATTCGTAACTTCTTCATTTTTGAATCGAGCTCCTTTTTCATTTAGCTGCTTTAATATACATTTTGTGTAATCTTCGTATTCATGATTATCAGGTATTACGCATACATTGTTAATAAACTTCTATAATATAAATGTAAATTAAATTACAAAACGTACACACCAAAATTACATACAGACTTACCAAAATTTGATACCTTTTCGAAGAGCTAGCTAAAGATTTATGTTTGTATGTTTCATAGATGATTTCACTCAGATTTTTGGAAATTAATTTTACTGTTTCTAATTGTTGTTTTGGACAATCAAAGTCGTAATCTAATTTTTCTTTTTGCAATAAAATTTTAAATACGTTTCCTTCTGTCATTTTTATTTGCACGTTATATTTTTGACAAATGACGTCTTCTCCAATTACTGGCCTCTTATTAAACACGTATACAGTTATACAGAACTAAACAAACGAACAGCAGAACTAAATTTACTCAACTGATATATCTGAGCTGTCAATTTTGCAGGTATTTGTCGTGTCAAAATGTCGTTCATCTTTGTAATTTCATTTACCGATCGTACATTTAATTGAATTTAAAAATAGAACCGGGTATTTGAAATTAGTAACTTTAAAAAGTTATTTTACGAACCGTTAGTTCAAAATAGAACAATAATAATGTCGGAGAATATTCAACAACCCACAATCCAGTATATTCTTAATGATACAGAATTTATTTTCGATTCTCCCGATCTAAAAACTGACGAACTAAACGATGTGAGTTTTAGCTAATTTTCTTTTAAATAATGGGCAGTTTGAATAAAAATTAATTGTAGATAATTTATACTGATGGAAACCAAGCTTTCATACTAAACGGGCATTTATTGCAAGGAGAACCGACAACTTTAGTATTACAAGAAGGCAATGATATTGGTCAATACTTAATTAACGATGATAAAGGTAAACTAAAAATTAATAAGGATTCTTAAAAAAATTAATTCTTTGATATCTAGGTGAATTGTTAATAGCAAATATAGAAAACAGTACAGTAACTTCAGGACAAGATACTCAACAAATCATACAATACCTAGATGAAGATGGAAATATCACAGATCCATCAGAAATCATTTTCGTCAATGAAAACGACTTAATCACATCACGGGAAAATTGCATGCAATATCAACTCGCAGAAATAACGGATAATACTCAAGAGGAAATTATAAACGTGGTAGATGTAAAGCAAGAAAATGCCAACGATATGCAATTAAATGCTACCGATTGGTAATATTTATTCGCACCTTTAATAATACTCATTTGTAATCGATTTTGTTTAGGTACCAATACTCTACAGTAAATGACAACTCCATTTCATCAGACAAAAGTACTAACGATGGTCCAGAAACAAACACTCTTTTGAATACTTCAGCCATTAAAGGGAAGAACTTGCTCACTGGGCAAGTGGTAACTTTGGATAGTTACATGAACAAAATCCAAAATAAATTTAAGCTGTTCTCTAAGAATTCTCTGTCTTGGAAGAAACCCAAGCACAATTTAAACGCGTTTCTGAACAAAAAATTCAACCTAGGCTTAACTATTGGCGGTAGGCAACTTGTAGGTAAAATTGTTCGTGTAGGTAACAAAGAAGTAGATGATTCAAATGCCTCGGAAGACGAATTCATGGACAATACTGACAATTCTAATGACGGTAATGGGGTAATTATTCAAGTTATGATGTACCAAATTATAATTTTTAGGTACAACTAATTTACCGAACACTTCTGAGGATATTTCGGAACCCAAAACAAAACTGTTCTCCAAAAAATCCGATCAATTTAACAGAGTCTTCAAAATTCTAACTGATCTAATGAAAATGCAGGACATTAATAAGCAGTTATGCGCGAAGAACATCAGGGTTAAAGTCATAGATAAGCATTGTATTTCTGACAAAAAAATTAACACTCACGTTTCGTTTATCAGCGGCTACATGGAATCTAATGGCAAAAATGAAAAGGAGCAAGAATGGACTTTTGTGCCTGATATTGTTAGACCAGAGTTCACTCAACAACATGTAGAAAAAAAGTCGCAAAAGAAGTAAGTTGAGTAATTATTATTACATATTTTTTGATTATAAAATCATTGTTTTAGATACACCGACAACATTAGTATAACAATCTTGACAACTTACCAAAAAAACGAAAGTTTCGTGCAAGTTATCTTCGACGATTTATCTTCTAATCTACAATGCGACTATTGTACTAACACGTTCAACGATGATTACATGTTAAAAAGTCACTTGAATAATGTGCACAGAAGATGCGAATATTGCAAAATTTTGTTCAACGATTTAGTTCGATTAAGGGAACACAAAAAGGTTCATTTGCAATCGAGCGACATGAAAATTTGTCCTGTAGGTAACTGCAAAAGTTCGTTCAAAACTGAAGTTTTGCTAAAAAAGCATTTAGATAGACATAAATTGGAAGATACCACTTACAGGTAAATTTATTCTTCCTTAAAAGATGCAAAAATTGTTTGCAATTTAGGCTATAGGTGCAACAAAGACAACTTACATTAATTCCATATAAAAGAAACAGTGATAATCTTTCTTTGTTCAACTCGTAGGATTGGTCATATTGCAAACAATTTTGCAATTATATGTATAATAAATAAGTATTTTTTCAAGTGAATTGAGTGAGTCAAACCTAAATCAATGCCAAAATAATTTGAACGTTCATCCAAAGACGAGTGTTCGAAGTGATTTAAATATCAAAAAAATAATTAGGAATTGCTATGCTTGTACCATTTGTAAACGAAGATTTTCGAGGCAGTTTAATCTCCAAAGACACATGGAAGTGCACAAAGGAGCTGAGCAACTTTACAAGTAAGATTCCCAGCAAATTATTGTAATTAACATACACTAAAATGTTTTTTTTTTGTATTCTAGGTGTTCTATTTGTGATTGCTCGTACCATTACGTATCGTCTTTAACAAGACACATTGTTCAAAACCACGTCCAAATAAACAGAAATGATGATTAGGCGTGAAATGAGTGGTCTAAAATAGCAATTAAGTTTGAAAAATTATTTAAGATAAAATTGACTGCCATTTGCAAAAAAATTATCTGTTGACTAATTTTTATACGGTGAATTTTAATTATGTTTATATAAATTATTCCAACAAACGTGTTAATCTTTGCATTTGCTCTTCGCATCGACTTTCTTCCTTTCTGGCACCCAAGGGATAATTTTCGGTCTGGTTGTTGAATAGGGCATGTACTGCTCTGGAGTACCGCTCAAATTTTCAGTATGTTCCAACATCCATTTGTAGTTCGGTCTCGTAGGATCAGAGTCTGGGAGATAATCTGTTTTATAATGCAACCACCCGAACCATTTGGGTGGGACTTGGCTGGCATCATATTCCAAACCTGTGATTAATATTAATATCGTATAAATTTGTGTCTTATATGTAATTAAAATGTACATACGATATTGCGGAGCGTACTCAACCCATCGGCTTCTGCCGATAAAATATGTTCTGTTCTCGAAATATTTATTGCCGAATTGGTCGAACCCTACGCACTTGCCAGGCCTAAGGTTGTCCATTCTACAAAATGCTCTCCTTCAATAGGCGACACGTAATTATAGAATGAGGCTTACCTGAAGACCTTGTATACAGAATTGATAATTCCCACATCCTTAATGAGCTTTAAAAATGAAAAAAACCTATCTATGCCAAAATAACTGGCCATGTAAAAAATTGTATATCGAAACTTTCCTGTCACTTCTGTCACTATAAAATTGTTAACTCGAATCCCTTAGGAATCCACTGCAACGCTAACTTATCCACACGCCGAATTTTTGTAAGAGTTTGGAGTATAAATAGAATCAATATGCAGAAACAAACTTATAATATTATACAAATTAAATAAACTACATGAGCCGTAGGCTCTTTTACACAATCGATTTAACAAGTGGCCACTAATTAATTAGTTTAATTTTTTGGTGGGACCCACGCTTGTATTTTTGGTGTCGTTGTGGAATAAGGCATGAACTGACCTGGAGTACCACTCATGTTCTCGGTGTGTTCCGCCATCCATTCGTATTTAGGTCTGGTGGGATCGTTTGTTGGTAAATAATCGGTTTTATAATGTAACCAACCGAACCATTCTGCTGGTACTTGGCTACCATCATAGTCCATTCCTAGCAATTTGATACGTGAGATAGTGGCAATTAAACGACAATATTATTTACCGTATTTTGGAGCATATTCAACCCAACGATTCCTGCCATAAAAGTAGTGAGGATTTTCGAAATATTTGTTACCAAATTTATCAGTTCCTACCAAAGTTCCTGGCCTCAGATTGTCGAACCTATGAAGTTTTTGTTTAATACAAATTATATAATCAGTATTTATTTTACCTGTAAATTTTATATAATGAAGCTCGTATACCTCCAGTTTCTTTAATTGTTCTGAGAAATGCAAAAATCTTATCCACACCAAAATATTTAGCCATATTTTGGTATTTTTTAATAAATCTAGTTTTAACTTTTCTTATAACCTCTCAATTCAAAATGTCACTTGTCAAAATAAAAATACATTGCAGCCAACTTAAAAAAATTACAAAGTTTGTTCGTTTGTATAACTATCACATTCCTGACATTCCAATACAATGACGTGTGTCATATCTCGCGTCAAAATTTATTTGTTGACATTCCTGTTCAAAAATCGATGTAGAAGATGACTGAGATGAATTCAATTTTATATTTATTCGCATAAAAGTATATAGTTCAACAGAATTAATGCCTCGAAATTACTACAAATCTCATTTCGGAAAGATGGAAGATATTAGCGACGTGTCTGGCGAAGTTACCGTGGTAGATGTGTACGACATTGCATCGGATATAGGAAAAGAATGCGAAAAAATAATTGATCAGTACGGAGCGGATGCAATGACTTCACTAATGCCCAAAGTTATTAACACCTTGGAGCTTCTGGAGAATTTGGCAACGAAAAACGAGCGCGAGAACACTTTACTGCACGATTTACAAGCGAAAATTTCCCAGTTGGAAAACGACAAACTCGAGAAAGCCGAATATAGAAAGAAATTCGAAAAGGTTCGTGGTGTTAATACATTCCTTTCGAGGTATACAATTACAAGTAAATTTACAGGAATTGGAAATTATCGAAGAACAATGGAGATCCGAAACAAAGGACCTCGTAAGTATGGTGTCTAAACTGCAAGAAGAGAACAGGCGTTTGCTCAAAGAGCAAAGCCCCAATCATTCCCCTTCCCACTTAACGCCTACCACGGAGAATGATATCCTGCAGAGATTGAAGGACTCTGTGGAAAAACAACGAGATGAAATTCGCTACAAAGAAAAATTGCTGCAGGAGAAAAACGGCGATGTAGATAACGTTAGTAAACCATTAAGAAAGTTGTGTTTAAATATCTTATAACTGGTTTTAATTCAGTTGAAAACCCAAGTGCAAAAATTGACCAATTCGAGCAAAGAGTTGAGAAGAAAGCACAAGTCGATGCAAAATCAAGTGAGAACCCTTTGCGATGAACGAGCAGACTTTCTCGTGCAATTACAAGACCAACAGAGAGACATATCGGCCCTGAGGCAGCGCTTGGGTTTGGCGCAGAAGGAAAACGAAGATTTAGTAAAGGTATAATTCGTTTCATTAAATTTTTATAATACTAAATTGGCTGTTTGCGCGCAGAGTGATGTTCCATTTCCTAGTAATAAAGCCGTTTTCGATCTGGACGATCCGAACAGACCGAGATTCACAACGCAGGAATTGAAAGACATATTGCATGAAAGAAACGAACTGAAAGCGAGGATTAGCGATTTGGAAGATGAATTGGAGGCGTATCGACCAAAGAAAAAAGACTCGTATGTATCATTCAATAACTGCTCTTCTTTTCGTTTTTATTATTTAGAATTTTCGTTTTTTGTTGGGTAGATTTATAAAGTCATTTTCTCTTATGGAAAAAATTGAATCGGCATGCGAAAATTTGCTAGGTACACAAATAGCCGAACCGGTAGCTCCACCTTGTTATTCGTAAGTTTTATTTATTATTTTTGTTTGCATTTGTAAATTTGTAAAGAGGCTGTTGTCAACCTTAAATATTTTTATAGGCCAGTGGACGAAGATGCCCCAGTACAAGGCCCTTTGCCTTACGAGCCAGATGATGCCCCTTGGAAGAAATCATCCGAATCAGGAATAAGGAGATTGTAAGTATGAAATATTTAAGAATAATTTTATTTGTCTATTACCAATTGATAGAATTTTATGGTGGGATAATTTTTATGTAGATATACTTTGTTCCTTCGAAAGGTGTTTACTGTTAAATGCACTGTTTATATAATAAAAAAAACAACATTTCAGTTGGAAGTTAATCTCGCTGATTATGGTATGCGTAAAGACTGATAAAAAAATAATGTTGCAATAGAAAAACTAGAAATTTCAACGGGAAATTGAGTAAGATAATTTTATTAAAAAAAAATTGTACTAATTAATTGCCCTAATCGAAATTAAACATTTGAACACCTAGCGAGTATCTAATTTTTATTGGTTTTTTTTAATATTTTTTCAGTTTTCGTAAGATCTTTTCCGAGGGCGGCAATGGCAGCAGTTTTCCTAAACGTAGCCTATCCACATTGTCTAAGATGGCTCTGTCTTCGACTAGCGAACCGGTATCCATATAATTTGTCGTTGCCATTTTGCGATGCCATCTTTGAACGGTTTCTGATGTTAGATATCAAATACGTTCATCACGCAATGTAAATGTCACTATAGTAACCATTTTAGTCACGAGCATTTTATTTTCCTGATAGAGTAATGATTCACTGTATACCTTAGCTGGTAACCATCGATGAAGTGGCCAAATAGTTTTGTAGATATCTAACAAATAATCAAGTAGGTAAAGGAACCAACGTTTTATAGCCATTTTGGTTTATTTAGGCTTATTAGAATCGTACTCATTACTCAATTTTTGTGTTACATACATACAGGATTTTTTATACGTATTTTTTATTTTATATTATGAGATTATTTTGTATCCAAAAGACTAACTAACTACATTTTAATAATCGAAGTTTCTTTACTATTAATCTGTTCCCTTATATTATAAAGTTTTATTGGTTCATTTGTTGATGCGTACTTTAAAAATTATTTTAAAAAAATAGTAGTTATATTGATAAAATGTTTTTATACGCACGTTTTTTGTAGATAACAAATTATATATACTGTTGTAATAAATACGTGGCACTCGGTAATTAGGCTTAAAAATTCAAATTATTTTTTATTTGGAACAACAGCAACGACAATACGCAGCATAATAATTCAATTAAATATTTCGAATGAAATACTCGAATTCGATATAAGTAGCACTTTAGTCTGTGATAAATTATCAAATATTTTAAATGCTTTTTTTTGTTAATGATAATTATCTTCCAGTACTCGGTTGACAATCGTTAAAGTAATTTCATATTTTATTCGTTATAGATTTAGTTTGCATTTTATATTTATTATTTTATTTTAATTGTATTGTTTTATGTGCTTTTTGTTTGCAACTAATTTGTGGAAGGTGCCAAAAATAAAATAACTAAATTAAAATGTTGTTTTTCTCTTCCCCACACTGCAGGGGTACATGCACCTTAAAATATCTCTACTTGCATCTTCTTTTAAGCTATTATAATATTTAAATCGAAGAGATAACTCTACTCTAGATGTGTTCTGCCGTATATACCCGCAGCTCGAAGGCCTGACGGCCTTCTACGCGAAGATAGTTACATAATCAAGATCACGCCCGCTGCGCGAGCTCAACTTATTCCCTTTAAATAACGATGGACTCTGCCGCATAGAGTCACAGCTCGAACGCAAACGGACTTCTACGCGAAGACAGTTAAATAATCAAGGTCTCGCCCGCTGCGCGAGCTCGACTTCTTCACTGTATACGATATGATGAGCTCTGTCGCATAGACCGGGAGCTCGAAAGCCTATACTCTTAGTCTTAACAAATACTTTTAAATAATGAAAGTCTCGTTCACTGCGAGATTTAAAAAAAATCGATTCGTTAATATTTTCGCGGGGTGTATGGGGTACATTCACAATGCTATAATAAATACATTCACCCTCCCCTATATCTCAACCCTCATTTATCGCCCTCGCATCAGCGATTTGACGTTTCCTACGTCACAACACAGAGACTATCGATCGCGCTCGCCTCAACCTCCAAGCATGATTCTAATACTGCACATTTTGAGCGGCCTGTTGGCGGCCACAGCGGAAAACTGCGAGAACCCGCAAATAATTTCGACGTCGTACACCACCCAGGACGCCACGATACTCAAGCACGTCGCGTACATTTCGAATTTCTACGTGAAATGCGAGTCGGGCAGCGCCGGGAACCTCTACGCCAAGCTGGGCGACGGGATGACGCCGGTCGCCCAAGTGGGCCAGGATAAATACCAAATCAGCTGGACCGAGGACGTGAAAACCGCCAAAATCGGCGTCATCAGCATCGACGTTTACAACGAAACCGGCTATTTGGTGATCAGAAAAGCGATCAGGAACGGCGAGAATATATCGGACATACCGGTGTTTGCTACAGTGAAAATTAACCATTCCGGTGTTTACGAAGGTCCTTGGTTATCCTGCGAATTGCTAGCGGCCTTGTTTTCCATCGGAGTCGCCTACGTAGCGATACATTTCAGAGCGAAATTACTAAATTGAAGTGCAGAAGTGGGATATTAAAATGCAACGGTATTTACTGGTTTAGAGGAGATGGTGTTTTCTAACTTTATTTACGGTTGACTCTTACGAATGATCTGAACATCGGTACGTTCGTGTAAACTCCAGGATAACCGGGTTGGGCGCAGTTGAATCCCCAGGACACCACGCCGCACAAACGCCCGTTTACGACGAACGGCCCGCCAGAATCGCCCTGTAATTTTCAATTAGGAAGAGTTTTTACCGCAAAATAAAACCACTTTTATTGTAGATCGACTTTCTATATCCTCCACCGTTCTTATTTACTTTATTCACTAAGCTTACCTGGCAAGAATCTTTGCCTCCTTCCCGGTACCCGGCGCAGAACATTCTCGTTGTAATCTCAACCATGTTGTAACTGGTTTTGCAATACGACATGGGCAACACGGGCAATTGGACGACGCGCATGTTCTCCACGGCGCCCGGGAAGTTGGCGTTGAGGGATCCCCAACCCGTCACCGTTCCTTTGGCCCCCTCCTTCAAACAGCTCTCTTCGGAAAGGCCCAGTTTAATCGGCTGTATAGTCGAAGACAACCTAACAAAACAACATAAAAATAACGCATAATTGATCGCTTTTGATCCGTTGAAAGCGGTTACTTCAAAGGCGGGTCGAGCTTCAAGATGGCGAAGTCGTAGTCTTGGTTTTCATCCCGGTGATACGGATGCAGGATGGCTTTTCTTACGTTGGTTACAACTCCTCCCTTGTGCAGGAAGTTACTTCCTGCTCTCACGGTGTAGGAGCCGGTGTATTCGAAGCAATGGGACGCCGATATAGCCGTGTCATTGCTAATTAAAGTTGCCCCGCATATGTGGGACCCACCGATTCTGAAAATTGAGAATTATCCAACAAGTTAAAATGGAACTGGGACTAAAAGTAGGGTAGCTGGATAAAGATAAAGGAATAGATAACAGTAGGTGTAAATGAGAGAAGTTACATTGAAAAAAAAAACTATATTCTCCTATTTTATATGATTTATTAAACTTACCTAAATCATAGCCATAAATAAATCTTAACAGTAATTATTACTTCAATAATTTACATTTTGAAGGAATGGATTTCACAAATTCACATGTACGATTGTAGAGGTTCTATTATCTCAAAATCTGTCAATTGCTGCGAGACATTAGATTTATACGATCCATATTAATTCATACAGGGAGTCTCGAATAAGAACAAAAATCAATACTTATGTATCGGCTCTTGTGCAACACCCTGTGTAATTAATGCACAATTTTACTTATCTGAAGGAGTTTTCACTTATCGAGAGGTTTACTCAATTGCTCCCGTCTAGCTGCCATGTAGTAAGTCTCCTTGGTTACAGCTGTCAATGACTTCCAAAGGTTGCTCAACCTGACGGATATTTCCTTGAAATTCTCGTCCGGATGTTCCACTTCCAGTTTCTTCCTCCAGTCCTTCGAGAACAGAATGAAAGCTCTGATTGGCTTGCTCGAGTTACTCTCCGAGATCTGTTCCGCCGTTTCCGAAGAATTTTTAACTTTATTGGAGACATTGGTAGGTTTTTCATCGGGCGCTTCTTCTTTAGGATTAGTATCCCTGTCTGTATCCAATACTTCTTTTTTAATGTTTGTAATGTTAACTGCGTCATTCTCATGTGTGGTTTTTTTATCTGGGGCTTCTTTGAAAATTGTAGAGTGTTCTTTGTTAGTATCAGTTGTGTCTTTGTTTGTAGAATGCTCTATTAAATCTACTTTAGCTTCTTGCGTATCGTTGATTGAATATTTTTTATTGGAAGTACTTGTATCTTTAATTTGCTCGTCATTGCAGTTACTGAGATCTACGTAGTCTACTTCCGAAACGTCTTGTACTTCCGCGGTCTTTGTCTCGGTTACAGGTGATGTGAGTTTAATTTTCTTAAAAGCAAAGTGGCCGGTTTGGTCAATTTTACTGCGCTTTTTAACGGCAACGCCCTTCGTTGGCGAGTGTATTTCGTATTTGATGATATCGGTAGTTCGATCGGACTGCTTCACTGAAGTCGGTACGTTGTGTTTCATTTTAACGGACGATAAACCTTTCACTTTCAATTTCTCCCCCAAAATCAGCACGCCTTCTAGATCGGTGTCCTGCACTTTGACTTCGCCCTGGTACAAGAAGGTGACTATTTGCCTCAAATGGCGATACTTGATTTCGTGGAACACGATTACCGGATGGACTTGGCTCATATTTTGGAAAATATCCATGAAGAAGTCGCTGCAAGCGGATAACACTATTTTGTGGGCCCTTATGTGTTGATTTTCGCAAACCAAAGTCGCGTCCACCATACGATCGGTTTGTTGAAGTTCGTTGAATACTTGCAGTATGTTGGTGAAGTAATTGTTCCATCGCAAATTGTAGAATTCCCTTTGTGCGGCCTTTAAAGGTTGTTTGGCCATAGCTAAATGTAGATTTAGACGAGTGCGTTTAATTATATGCTCGGTATAAACGAAATAAGATCGCACTTAATTGGGAAGTACAGAAATTTCGAAATATTTAAGGTTATAAAAAACGCTTCGCTTCTTCTTCTTTCTTTTTTTAGTTTTTTTGGTTTTAGTTTTTCTTGGGTTGGTATGAGATTGAATATTTCGATCTGATGCGATTTGAAACTGATTATTTTTGAAGTGTTTGTTACTTTATTAAATATTTAGGGTTAACATAAAGAATATATTATAGCAAATTAGTGCTGAATTGAGAATATCAAAATCATCTTTTTTTTGACCATTCATGCTTCTTGTCATTTGCGGTCTATTACTATTTAAGGATGCCGTCAAAAAATTTAAATTTATTTAGCACCTACAGGCATAAATAAAATATAAGAGTATATAAACTACTTTCTTTGACTATGCCTATAGAACACCTAACATCAAATAAATGTTAAAATTTATTACCTTAAACTTAGAGTGTATGGGAATTCACCAGGTTTGGCTATGCGACCTCCAACAATTCTTTGACTTGCCCAAGTGTTTTGCAATATAACTGAAATTTTTAATAAAAGTAATTTCAAAAATATCTTGATTGTCAATTTTTGTTCAATTATATTAATTCCATTTCAATACGCTACACTTATCTGAAAATTAGTCTGTATAAATTTTTAGTTAGTTCGAAAATTAACATTGCAAAACAATTCCTGCCCTATTTGAATAAATCGAATAATTCGCAATAGAACATAATTTTCAACAATCATTAAGCTGGCAAAAACGTTGTACTTAATTCATAAATTATAATAAATAGTTCCCAAATGAAACTCACTAATAAACGTATACACCGACCAAAGCACATTCATACTGGTAATTTACACGCAATTACTTTCAGTTTCAGAACCGTGGAAACATTAGACCAATTTGCTGACTTTCCGCGTGTAAATACAGAAATGTTAATGTTTACGCATCCTTATCACCGGTAATGAATAATTGTTATAATACAGTAATAGATAATTCATAGTAATAGTATTGTCATTTTTCGAAGACAGAGATCTGGAAATAAGATTTTAAATTTGCTCAATTTTTATAATACCCTGTTGAGATCACAAATTACTATTATCCGGCTCCTTAATTTTTTTTTATTAGACGGAATTAAGTGAAATATTAATTGTTAAGTGAAAAATAAATTAGTCTTGAATTCTATATTAATTTTCAAAAAATTGTGTAAACTGCTTTGTTTATAGAATTTAAAGTGTGGAAAATTATTTTCAACAATTTCAGAAAAATAACAAAATATTCCCCGAGCTATAAAAACATTCAAATTTAAAAAAAATCGTGCCGAATAGATAAAATATTACGAAGTACACGTTATAATCATATAAAAATATATAGCACATTATATTTTTCACGTGTTGTCCTATTATTTCTTAAAATTATAAGTTAGACTAGGTTTATTGGCAAAATAAAAGAAAAAAAATCTTGTATAATACTTGTATATTTACGACTGAATACTGTATATAGTGTCTAAGTCACAAGACATAAGCGCTCTATTTAACTAGAAAAATATATTGTAAATGGCACTTTTACACATAATATACTTTACAGGGGGAGGATGATGTTAAGAGAACGAAAACGAAGAGCTGCTAACAAACGAATATCATAAAAACGTATCAAACGTACACTCATAAAAAGATAATTCGACAATGAAGAAAATACTATTCTAAGATTATAGTACACAATGCTAACTAAAGAAATAACTTACTAAATATGATCGAAAAATACAAAATAAAAAAAAACATAAGACATGTAAAAATAACACAGTTAATCATATTAAAAAAATGTTTCTAATCTAATTCTCCTTAGCTAAAGTCTTATAAATTACGGAGATTACAGAATATTTTTGCATGTTTATTGAAAGTACACCTTTTCTATAATCTCTGTTCATAATATTATACATACGATTGTTTACTCTTTTTACACATTAGATTTCTGGCACCTATGTGGTATAATTTCTATCTTGACGGCTTAGAAAAAGGATTTTTTGTTTCAATCCTACAACGAATCTCAAGATTACCAACTTAAAATTAGATGAAATCTCTAACTATCCGAATTCTGTAGTCTCATTTTCTCTATCTTCAGCATTCTCTCATTGGCTACCTTCCTTTCCTTTTACATTTTTAGTGCACTATAAATCAATCGTAAAAGAGTAAGAATATTTCCTTATAATTATTAAGAAAAAAAATTCAATATTTTCCATATACTCACCAGACCGTAAAATTTACAGAAAATATTGCTTAGTTATAGTTCCAAAAACTGAACGTTATGTTTTTCGATTGAAACAAAAAATGTATGTATCTTAAACCAATTTACATATTTGTTTGTATTGTTGCTATGAGGTGAGTGCGGTTCCTATGAAAAATTAGAATGTTTCAGATCAAATTACAATAAAAAAAATTGATCTATCACTGGCAAAAATATTACGTTTCGAGTTAAGAAACGGTTCACAGGTATAAATACAAAAATACTACTTAAAAAAATAAGCGCTACAATCAGGTATATAACTCGAGATTCAAAATAATTTCAAAAATGTACCAAAAATATAGTCGGAGTTTGTGCTTTAAATTATCAATGACCCAAACGTAAATCATCATCAAACGAAGTGTTTCACTCGAAGATACAACAGTTTTGAAATTATTTTACTTGTCATATCGCTAGTATTGATGCTGCCACTCAGTCAGTCCTTTAACCTTAGCATAAGTACACAATGAGTATCATGAAATATACGCGTAGGTACATATTTGTCGAAGAAGGCAACTATTAGATCGAGTAATATGAAACTTATAGAATAGTTCGAAAAAATTCGTACAACTAAAACTGCAGGGTGGGATTTTCATATTGCTCAACCCGATATTATGGAAGCCACTCTATTTTATTTTTGAACTAAATGACACCGTGCATATCACTGCAATGAACAGTTAAAAACCAAACACGTTTACCCTGTACGTAAACTAAAAATTATAATCGAATGGCAGCATGACTAAGAACTAATGCAAAAATGCAAAAAAAATACTAAAAAAAACATATAAAAAAATTACCATTTTAGACTAGTATTGGTTTCAATTTGAGATGTCATAATATCAGAAAAATATTGTACAAACAACACTTGATTTCGTTTAATCACCAGAATCCGTATATTCACTAATTTCACGTACTACTTAATTATTCTTTCTAACACAATTTTTCCTTAATTATTTTTTTTTTCAAGAAGACAATTCGTCAGATTGCGTAAAGAAATCAATGAAATATTTGGCGCAAAAAATACACACTTACCATAGAGCGATACATAAATAAGAGAGAAAAAAAAACATAAACGAGATCAAAAATTAATAAAACTAAATAATAAAAGAATAAACCGAGTCATTCGAATACGAACGTTTTTACTTGGAATCGCAAAAACTACGTTATTTTCGTTATGTAACGAAAACGCGCTAATACAATTTCATTTTTACACGATTATTACAATAAATAAAATACTGCATTTTGTACCAATCGAATTCAAGTTTCTGCGTTCCAAATAATTATAGACAGGTAATCGAAATACTGGGATTCGTAACTTAAAAAAAATAACTTACTGGCAAAAATGTTTTTCCGAATCGATACTTTTTGCTACCAATAAGAACCTACTCGAACCAAAAAAAATTCAAAACTATTATTAAATCTTACACAGAAGACAGATTCTACGGATACGTCAAGTATTACTCATTTTTTCTACTAACAAGTAGGTTTCGAAGAAGCTCCGAATCCGTTTCTGGCTCGAGTACATTTAAAAGATTCTCCTAAATAAAAAAAAGGAACTAAAATAAGTGTAAAGAAATCTTCCGGCTTCCCGTGTAAGTACTTCAAAATACCAAATCAAAAATAATGACCTATACCTATTTTAACTTCGAAACGCCCAATGCCGGCAATTTATAATGGACGATGTGGTACGGAGGGCCGATAGGACTAGCGGGTGAATTGTACGAGGTAGTCGTGATGGGCATGCCCGACACGCCGACGCCCATGGGGCCCGCGCACGCCCTGCCCCGCTTGCGTCTCGGCAGGATGCCCTTCCGCGCCATGTAGAACCTTATGGTCGATATAGGGATGTTGAATTGGTCGCTGACGTTTTGGAACGTTTGTCCTCTGGTGATGCATTCGGCTGCCCTTCGAAGCTCCTCGTCCGATCTGCGGATTCGTCTGGTGGCGGAACCTACAACAAAACGTGTACAGAAGGTTCCTCAAACCGAATTTGTGTTTCAACGATAACCTTCAACCGGTATAATTTGCTCGAAAAAAACGGTTACCTTGTGATGAGTCGTACTGGCAAGATACGTTGGCGATTGGTGAAAATTCAGATTTAACACTGGTATTGATGGTTCCTTCTTCTTCTGTCAATTCCTGGTCCATGAGTTCGGCCTCACCTTCGTAAAAGGTTTCATCGACTTCGACTTCTTCTTCTTCTGCAAACGATAAAAAGTCAATTAAAGCATAACGAATGATGAGTAATAGTGACCTTTTATTTGCAGCATTCCGTCGTTTGAATCGCATTCTGACGAAGAAGGATTGTTACCACTATCGGACCCTTCAGTAACTTGATTCGTTTCTTTCTTTAGTGGCGTATCACAGTTTTTGTTCATTGGTACCTGGCTGGGCTGTAGTTTGTTCTCCGATGGTACGGGAGAACCGACTTTCGGCTGAAATTCAACGAAAATTGCGTAGAAAATCGATCAATCTATTGGCTTACAACTTACAGTAGAAGGTGCCGATTGGTTTTGCGGATATTGCGACGTCGAATTCGACTTAATATAGCTGAAATAGTTCGGATTAAGCAGCTGATCGGACCCGCAAAGGCCTCTGATCTGCAAAGCCTCGGCCGATTTCAGCAACGAAGGCAAATCGTCCTGAGTCACGTTCACTTCGCCCTTGTACATGAAGTCAACCAGCGACTGCATTTCATTGAATCTGAAAAACGCGATAAAAAATGATTCGAAAATACAAAAAAAAAATGCTTCGACTTACTTCATGTCCTTCATAAAAATGATGGGATGCTGGCAAGGATTGTCCAACAGCAACTTCTCGAAGTAGGTAGAGCACGCCGACAAGACCACCTTGTGGCACTTGAGCATTTCATTTTCGCAGGCCAGAGTCACGTCGACGAAATGCTCGGAGGTAAGGAGTTTCGGAAAAGCGTTTTGGAGATTTGATTGGTAACTGTTCCAACGGACACAGAACTGCTGCGGCGGGGTGGTAACCATCTTTCTTTTTCGTAACTGAAGTCCCTTTGTTGCCCTTAGCGCAATGGCATTTAAAAATTGATGCGGTCAAATTAAAACTGGAATTTTAATGTCCTAAACCTGCAAAAAGTTTGTTGTTTAAGTACAAAATGTATCCAATGATAAAATTTCGCATATTTGTCCGATAAGTATCTCTATGTATCTTATATCGTACGAGATTTGTGGTTTGCATTGATAAAGCATAGTTTATATTTTTCGAGATATTTATTTGTATTATTTAAACAAAAATATCTCTAGTAGCTGATATTCGAAAATTAACACAGATAATATTATTTTATCGGTACTTATCCCGAATATCTACATCACACACGTAAGAGATCTGTTACAATTTTTTTACATTTATCGCAGCTGTTTAAATGTTTAAAAATAAATTACCTGCTTTCTCAATATCTTTACGCTACACCATCTGGATAATATTTAAATGTGCCTAATCTTATCTCTTTCATAAAATTTTATTCTAAATCTGGAAGTCATTCATAACACCAGCATAGATTTTTGTTTGTAATGATATCAGAAAAATTAGCGTGATTTTTTTGTGCTATAATTACTTGCATACTTAATTAAAAATTTAATATCTACTCAAAACAACTAACTCTTGCCTACTAGATTAAACAACAATAATAAAATCGGAGAAAAATATCAGAGGTCATGAAGGGTAGGTATCTAGATGTAAATGCGAGAAAAATAGATGAAAACAAACTCACGCTTGAAAACGAATTTTTCCCCCAAAACATAACCTATTCGGTGGAATACACTCTTATTATTCGACAAAGTATTCAGCGGTTTAAATAAATGTTAAGTACGGCCTACCCGAAGCGGCGCCGCCACACAAAAATAAACATTTAATTAGTTATAATTAGCTCGGCAGCTCAGAATTTCAACAAAATAGTTAACAAAACACGCTCCAGAAGATGATTAAACACAAATATGAATCAGTGTTGCGTTTAAAAATAACAATTATTAAAATAAACATTATATAAAAGCACGCCTCGCCATTTTGGTTAACCCTTAAATAATAGCACGAAAAAATATTACAACAAAAACAATAACAAGCAATATTATTCGATGGGATTCTTACCCCTGCACAAATGCACGATTATTATTACCTTTGAATCGTTTAAAATTCATGAAATCACCACAACACATGAAAAAAAATCTTAAAAGATCGATAAAAACTTTTAATGCAAAATGTATCACTTAAATAATTATATTGCTTAACAGAACTTATCTCAGACTTGAGTTTCGACTTTCAAGTCACACTAAGAACGTACGTTAGAAGCATGTAAGGAGTGAAACGTACGTCGCAGCTTACTTCGGCGTTATACAATATTTACTTGTTCTCTCGCTGGGGGTGTACGAACGATTTTAAAATATAAACAACACGCTTTCGGCCACATTTTCTCATCGAAATCGATTGGTCACTTACCGATTTTTGTTTAAACTTGCGAAAACTTGATTAAAACGCGGCCAAACGCAATTTTTGCTGAACTAAAAACGTGGTAACGATTCGAAATGCGATATTTATTTATAGATTTTCATTGCCGCCATTTGCAATTTGCCGGCTTGATACAGTCTGCGCTATAAACATTTCTATCCGCTGCGAGACGGAAAAATAAAAGAAAAAACGGAATTTCTGGCTTTGTTGAGGCCGAAGCGGTTTTTGCGCCTCGTTATTTAATAAAAAATATTGAACAAAGAGCATGCGAAGGTTGACTTTAAACCGAACGATTTTAATTATTGAATTTAAAGACGACGTTGGCTGGGAATGTACTGTAAACAAATGCTTCTAAGGGTGGCGACACGGAATTTACATAAAATTAGGGTGTGCGTCATTAAATATTACTTAACGATTTTTTAACGTTTCTATTAAAAAGATGCGTTTCTAAGACGCCTTTTCTTCTGCGATATTTTTATTCATTACATGAATTTAAATTCTAATAAGTTGGAATTAGACGTTTCAAATCGAAGTAGGCTTAATATGGTGACATTTGACACGAGCGTAACATAAGGGTTTTTTAAGGGTTTAAATATAAATCAAAATACTAAAAATATCTGAACAATATCCTGGTAAAGCAAGAGATAATATTATACACATTAGTACATAAAAGTTTGCAATATGGTCAATTCTATGAGTTGAACAAAGATTGTTAAAATAATAGTGGTAAGCGAGTAAGAAAATTGCAATCGCACAATATCACCCTTTCTCTTTCCTTTATGAGTGTCTAATGGAGGTTGTCTTTGTTGCACCCATAGCCTATATTCGAAGCTAAATTGCATCAACCTGTATAAGGATTATAAATAAATACACAAGGAACATTGCACTGTTAAATATATTTTCTAGACATTGTAAAATATATAACATTGTGGTAGCCAGGAAATGTAATTCTTATAATAAATAACCCGAAAAGTAATCATGCTAAATAGTATATTACAAAGTAAATTACATTATTAACTTCTAAAAAAATTCAAAGCAGGTTTTACTATTTCTTTTTATTTTTTTAGCCTATTTACAGCAAGTTACACAATTACAATACAACCTCAAACTCAAAAAAAAAACTTCAATGTGGAATTACAAATAAAAAAATAAGGCTGGCCATCCACTATTTTAAATGAAATTGTGGTAAACAAACGGGGTGGATGGGCGAGGAGCTTTTTAAAAACCGTAAACAAAAAAATCGAGTAAAATCGATATAGTATTCTTTAAAATTCATCAAAATTTTGAGAGAGTAAGAAGTTAGCGGCCATATTTTCGTTCTTCTCGCATGCAAAATAGGCTTGTACTACTAAATGTTCGGGAAAACCCAAAGCCTTCAACCTTTCAATGGCGTCTTTGTCTTGAGGCGTTACTTGAATCATCCCTTGCGGAGGACCGCCCGTAGCTGCTTGTGCGCCACCTTGAAATAAACAAATTAATTTTCATTCCGATAATAACAAATTGTATTAATCATACCCACCAGAAATAGCTCCTCCTCCGCTAGCAGGAGCTGGGGCACCAGCAGCCGGCTCATTGAGCATCCTTACAAATGATTCCTGATTCTGCGATATTAATTGCAGCAAAGCAGGATTGGTTTGTCCGATTTGTTGCAAAACGGCATTCAACAGCTGGGGATTTTGCTGGATGACTTGCCGCATTTGTTGGAATTGCGGTTGGGTTCTCAAAAACGCCAACGGGTCATCGGTATCGGATTGTCTTTCGTCCACTCCGGATAAATCGGCAGTCTCGTTTACCTGGAAAATCGAACATATAAATGCAAATTGGAGCAAAATGTGCGTACTTACAGATTCTTGATCTTCTAATAGAGGTATTCCGTTAATCAAATATTCTACTGCTCTATCGGGATTGTTAAAACTGGCTCTAAGTGCTTGTTCAACTTGGTCTCTAGCATACCCCATGTCTATTATGTTCCTCACTGTGGTTTCATACTCTTCACCCATTAGTAAAGCGGATTCCGCAACACTACTTATGATAGCGGGCATATTCGCAGCTGCTTGAGGTGTCGGAGTTGTTGTTTCTTCTGTGGCCTCTTTCTTCGGAGCTGCGGGAGTCGGTTCTTCTGTGGTCTCTTTCTTTGCAGCTGCAGGAGCGGTGGTTGGTTTTGCGGGAGGACTAGCAGGTGTAGTACTAAGAGATAAAGAAATTGTACAGTTATATATGATATTATAGGAGTATTTGTAATATGTACCTTGCAGACGTAGCACCATCTCCACCTTCGGTTTTTTCTGGCTGTTTCGGTTTAGTGACCATTACAACTATAAATTTCTTTTCGTCAATATTGTATTCAGACAAAACGGACTCGTCTGTAAGTATTTTGCCTAAAAAGAGACTTAACTATGTATGTTTTGAAAGCGATATGGTCATATGAAAACTAACCTGCATAGATCAGTCTCTGATTTTCCGAAGGGTAATCTTTCCCCTTTTCCGATTCGATTTTTTGCTTTAACTCTTTAACCTACGATTGCAAAAGCGTTAGTAGAATATTACGAGTATTATCAATGAAATATACAATACCGTTTTTGTCGGTTCTATGTCTACAATAAAGGTTTGTTGTTGAAGATTTTTTAGTGTCACCTTCATTTTGCTTCTTTAAAATTAATAAAACAGTCCTAAATAAAGTAAATAACACTGTTTCGAAGTTAATTTCTGCCCAATGTTCGCTATTTTTCGGCTAAATATTTCTGAAAGATGATATAGCAGAACTGATAAATTTGGCGGCCATATTATTCTGACAGGACAGGTCAAACAACTTAAAAATTTTAAATTCTTTGAATTCCCAATATTTTCTAATAACTGTCCAGGAATATCTTTCGATACTTAAGGATTACCACATTCATTAAATTTGTATGAAATAATAGCTACAAACATCTACGGGGACTATAAATTGAAAACAAAAATAATTATTGAAAAATTGCCTAGGGAAATGCCAACGTCAATGTCAAAAATATAAAATTTGCCGAATACTCTATATAAGGGAAGACGAATTTAAACGAAAAAATGAAGAATTCTGTCAAAAATGTCATATGTCTCACTTGACGTTAATGTCAAGTGCCTCTTTTTTGAGGTTAATAATTCCCTAATTCTACTAATAATTTTTCAAAATTAGAATGTTCTAGTCATTTTATTATTTCAACGTATTATTAATTATGGCATTGCAATTATCCAAGAAAGCTGGTTTGGTAGGAGTATTAGTAGGAGCAGCTGTTATCTTGCATTTTGGAAACCATTGGATAAAACCGTTGGTAGCACCCGAGAAGAAATCCGAGGATATTAATGAAAAAATGAGAAAACTAGTAGAAGGAGGAATTTCTAATAGGTAGCCACAAAATAGTTGTATTAAACTTGTAAATATTTAAATTAAATGCTTAATGTAATAATTTGGGGAGAATTTATTAATAATCTAAAATTTGAATAAGGTTTCACAATAATTGGATGGTTTGTTAAGGATAACATAGTTATATGTACTACCTTCTTGATGAGATACATTTTAGACATAATATTACCTTTTCTCAACAGCGTTTACAATTAAACAACATTTTAAACTATTAATAACATTAACAAAAATGTATAATCAAGATTTTTAATAAATCGACTAAAAGAGCATAGGTAATTTAATATTAAAGTTCTTTCCAAGATTTGTGTACAATACACAGAATTAATCTAAGTGTTAAAAAATATTTACAGTGAACATTTACAAAATTAACTACATTTTATTTAAAGCCTTAGACTAGGTACATTTGATTTTTGCAATGCACAGAGACATTAAAAAAATTATAACTAAGAATAAATTACATACTAAAACAAACTAATAAATTGGCAGTGTAATTATTCGTTGCGATACAAATTTGTTAAGTTAACAAAACCTAATGTAAACTATCAGAAATTTTTTAATCTAAAAAAAATTAAATGCACCTGAAAATTTCCACAGAGCATTGCAAAACTATTCAAGGGGATGATTATTATCTATCTACGAAGTTTCGAATGTAAATTTTGTAAAAAATTGAAATTATATTTAGGATCGGACGTTCACCTATATTTAAATCTTACGAAGTTAATAAATTGACAAGACATAATACCTATGTACTATTATTATACACAAAATTTTGTCGACTTAATTTGATACAAATTACCTGCGAAGGCGCGCAACTATTTACGTAATAATATGTAGATTAATACCCATCCTTTTGCTTGTTATTTTGGTTATATGCTGCACCTAACTTTACATGCAGTTATTCTCTGTGTTGTTCTAATCATTCATAAAATTGTAGTCTCTAATATGTACCTATGTAGTTAGCCTAAGTCCATTTATAAGAAGGCATATAAATTTACAAATATTCGACGATGTCGCACTTAATCGAAATATTGGGACACGACCTGCCGAACGAATAGTCTATATTATGCTGGCTTTTATTGCGTTCCGTTAATAATTTTTGGAAAATCGGTAAAATCTCTCGGTCTAAAAGTTCGCTTTCCGATGTAGCATTGTACATCGATTTGTCCCTTTTGGGCTGTTGAGACGTGGTTTTCAACGAATTTACGTTAGGAGTACTTTGGAAATAGCCCAATTTGTTGCACTTTTGATTGCTGATGTTCGTCGGCATTTTCTGCTGGTCTTGTTGCTTCTTCGCCGGGGATTTTTCCCGCTTTTCCCTTGGCGATGAGTGCCGGTTCCTTTCCGATACAGTTCGATGGATATGCGAGGAATCGTCTAAAACACAAGTCAATTTTACTTGCATCTTAAGAAATTAATGAAGGGAACTAGCAATTAGGATGAATTTGACAATAATTCAATATACTAGTTAGTTCTCCCTGTATTATTGTATCTAAATTTCATTGATTGCTAGAGCTCAGGGAACTAAGAACTAGGATGAATTAGAAAATATTTCAATATACTAGTATCTTGTATCTACTTGAATCTAAATTTCATTGGTCTCTAGAGCTCAGGGAACTAAGAACAAGGAAGAATCGGTAAAATCGTTACCTTCGTCTTGAGATATGCTAACTCTGCTGCTTTTCTGATGGCTTTTCATGCATCTGTGCTGACTGCCCGTATCCCAAAGTTCGCTTTTCGATACCACGTGAGTGCCGTATTCAGGTTTTTTCTTGGGCGTCGTTCTGCCGTGGTAACAAGCGGTTTCTTCTTCAGGCAACGACTCTGCCTTCAAACTCGATTTTCTCCGGGTTACCGTCATCGCTCCCGAGTCGAACGATTGGGACATCCTGCAGAATTATTAGTACATAGCAATAAAGGGTGGTTTTTCAAGGGGACTCACCGTCTCTCGTGAATGGGAGTCTTCGTTTTGGCCTCTTCTTTCTTACAGTCAGTTTGCTGGGGTGGAATTTCGTAGTCTGGCGGCACAGCATCTTTTACGTTGTTGTAAACAGTGTCGATTTCGGTGGGTTCGATGTTTTGTTTGAGGTTCCCGTTTAGGTGTCTCTGTTCGGGTTGGTCTTCCTCATATTTCGCTGTGTTTTGCGGAGATTTTTCTAGCTTAGGTGATTCGATACCTACTTTCCTTTTTCTAGAAAATTCATAAGTTTGTTGTTAGTCTTAATGCATCGAATTCAATTCCAGAACAACTTTTTTTTAGAGTTTTGTTCCAGAATTATTGTAGTTTAGAATATTATCATTTCACGCACGAAATATAGGTTTATAAATAATAGTACTATTCTAATAATTTCTAATCTCATTTGTAGATTTTCGCTACAATAATATAGAAATTTGAGCCATTCCACATGCTAGCTGCAGCACTTTTAATGCACAAAGAGTATATTGATTTAGAAAATTTAAAAAATATCCAATAACTACAGAGCAACAATAATTCTTTCCTAAACCACTAAACTCTTCTAATAAAAACTTAGAATCCATAGATCAAGAAATTTCAACACCCGAAATTTCTTTAATCTAGGACACTTGAGAAATAGACAGGCGATTGCAAATCTCCTATATGAAGTCTTTATAATTCGGACATACTTGAGTCTATGGTGACTTTGGTGGCTGCAAATTGAAATTGTGGATAACATTTTTGAAACAGCAAACGAATGGAAATTATGTGAACTTACTTCTGACTATCAGCTCGCTGCAGTGACGCGTAGTCCTGCGAGCTCAAGCTGCACAGCGATGTCAAATCGCTGGTTTCTGTTGCACTGGGCGCTTCTCGCCGCAACAACGGCACGGATAATCTGTTGGTATCAGTCATGGATTCTCTAGAGTCCAGTATTTCCTTCGCTTCGTTACCCAAACGCCTTATCAGCATCTGCAGGAGGTTACTCTTATCGAAATCCTCTTTTACTACAAGTATTCTTACCTGTAACTCGGACTCCTTGTCCAAGAGGGTCTTCCTATACTTGGAATTCAAGCTTTTCACGTCCTTTATTTTCGATTCTAATTCAGACGCGCTAGAATCCCTCCTAGTTTTCGACATCGGTCTGAGTGTCGGCCGGAACCTTTTGTCTATAGACCCAGCCGGGTTTCGCCTCAATTCCAGCATCTTCGGCACAAATACCAGCCACAATGTTGCTGTAGTGCAGAACATCACGAATACTCCTGCAATAATAACCGTATAATGAGCGTTTCTGCTGAATGCAGGTCGGTTAAGCACTTACCAATAATTAAAAACATGGCATCCTGGTGATCTACCAACACCAAAGCGACTGCGGCGCCGCAAATGCACATAATAGCAACATTGTAAACGGACAAACCGACATGTCGGCTGTCGTTTAGAGCTGGAATCGACACGTGACGCGTTTCCCAAGCCAAGAAAGCTCCGAAAATCTGATAACAATTTCCCCGATTACACCACCATTTTAATTTAATTTCTACAAATATTTACCATCAGCAAACCTTTGTAGGCGTATATCGACCCAACGAATATCGTCTGGTGTTCCGACGCGCAGTATTCATTCTCAGGAATTATGATTATATCTTCATTCGATGGATGAGGCTAAAAATATTATTATTAACACGATTAAAAGGCGTTTTTAGGTTGTATACTCACGTAACGCTCCATTTGCTTGGTGTCCCTGTAAAACGGATCCGCCACTTGCCAAGTGGTCATGATGGCTAAATCGATGAAAAGCAGAACCCCCACAACCATAAATAGCTGGTAGTCTTTGATGACTTTCTTGTTCAGCTTCACGTCCGTAAATATAGAATGAACTCTCCAAGTTTTGCTGAACATAGCTCCGAAGGCCAAGGAGAATCCGGCCATAAGAGTCCAAGCTCGGGCCGTGCAAATGTACGGAAAGGCATCTACAACGTGCAAATACACTTGGATTATGGTGGGATTTAATTAAAATATTGTTATTATTACCGATGCTGGACAGTCCCGAGTCCAAGCCCAAGAAGATGACGCTGGTATAGGTCAGCATGCAGCCGATAATTATCAAGTTATTCAGCTGCGGGCTCGACATTTTAATGTAACGTTGATTGCGAAATTTAATGTTGAAAGCCAGAAATACGATCGCCATTATTATGCCGCATACCGCGCACGTTGCTAATATCGCATAAACAGTCTTGTTTACCCTGGTATGTTCGATTATAACTAAAGTTCTATCCTTCGGGGGGTGCCTGAAAACGAAGGTAAACGTGTAAACTGCACCTGTTGCATCGATTCCCGAGATCGTCTAGAATCTAGATCGATAAACCACTTACTTCCCTATCCACTTGAGTGGTGCTCCTAACGTCAGATCTAAGTGCTGTGTTGCTGCACTGTACTCTCCCACTTTGATCTCCTGGCCCTCTTGGAATTGTTTCAAGAGAATACTCGCCTTTCTTTCGTTATCGTAGAATCTAACGGGCCCCGTTACGCCTGAAATATTGTATATTTTCGGTTACCTTTAAGGCGCAAAATCCACGACTTACCTTCGAAACTGGTATTGTGTAAAGCGTCCAAAAACAGTCTCTCCCACATGGGATCTCTATACCTGAAATCCACGACGGATTCGTTCCTGCGGAAATATTTCACTTTGTGAGCTACGTTTTGTATGGCCAAAGCTAAGGCCCAGATTCCATCGTAGGTGTAGCCGTGGAACCTGGAGTATTCGTTGCCTCTGCGCGATTCGTATTCAGTGTTGTATTCGTCTGCGGTCTATAATGGAGAAGGTTAAACTCTGGTTAAAAATTAGTGCTGATAGCTTACGATTCCGGATATAGTGATTTCCCCGCTGGTGGATAAAGGCAACAGATCAGTCAAAATAGTTTGCTCTAAAGCCGATTGCAGTTCCTCCTGCGTACAGTTGAATTCCGGGTCTAATTTATGCCACCAATCGAATGTGTAGGTGCCCATGATGATCCATTGGTACTTCTTGCCGTACATCTTCAGCTTGTAGGCTTCGCAGAAGATCTCTCGAGCCCACTTCTCGTTGAAATTGCCTGCAAACAAAGCGGTTAAAATCAACGAATTAGATACATCGGAATTGTACCTAAAATAATCCGGGTGTCTTTTTCCTTCAGCTTCGTCAGCGCCGAATTCACTTCGTTGGTGAAACTCTGCGTTTCGAGCACCTGGTAGCCCATCGTGTCCAGCTCGGCGACTAATCTGTTATGGGCCAGAGAGTACCTCGGCTCGTTCTGGTATATCGTCCCGACTTTGGTCCAATTGAACTGCTTCAGCAGCGACAGCCTGGGCGAATTGAAAGCGTTCTCCGACGGTACTATTCGGAAAAAGTTGGGGAAATTCTCCTTGGTGAACATCGGGTGCGTGTCAGCGTACGATAGCTGCAAAACGAGTTATCTATAACTTGTCTATAACTTATCTACTAATAGGAAATTGTGGTACTACCTGTGTTAGGTGCCAATGTTTGGAAGCTTTTGCTATGGGATCTGTGACATGAGTACAGGCTGCGCCGAACAACATCAGTTTGTTGGGGCCACTGTGCATCATGTCGAAAAATGCTTTCACTCCCACTGCAGCATTGCACTAAAATGGAGGAATAGTAATAAAAATATAATCGCTAAAATAGCAGCACAGGGAAGTATACAATTATATTACACAAAATTTTTATGAGCTGTATAAGATTTTGGTCACTTTTGTGAGCTCGGTTTAAAGTCTTTTCGGTTACCTTGCCCGATTTTATTGACTTCTTATAAATTTTTGAGCGGTGCCCGAGCAACACGGAAAGGGATCGGAGCAAAACTTGCACAATTTAACTTTTTATTTAGACACCGGAGACATTAAAAAGCGATATATCGTCGAAAGCAGGCCGAAAACGCGAGAGGAAATCGCATTAACGAAACCTCCTGAAATCAGATATTCCGCAGAATGGGACATTAAATGAGGATGGGATGACAGAGAACGGACTTAATCTAATACAAAATCCGCCGCAACTGACTTCCCGACCCCATCGAACGCCGCGATCACGATTCACTGAAAAAGGGTCTTTTTCCATCCCCGAAAGAACATTAGCGAGGCAAATAAAAATTATTTCCCATTAAACCGGATAAACCAAACCATTGCATGGGCAAATCAAGCGCACATATCGGATTAATACTGTTATATAATTAATTAAATAATTTCACAAGGCCGTTTGTTGCTCGTTTGATCGACCGGGAAAATTGCTACCCCTTCACGTGCATTTCACATAATTGCATTTTTTTGCACCGTGCCTAACCCTATACAGGTACGCTCTGCGATTATGCTCATGGTTTTCCCCAACGATGGAAAATTGATTACGAAAACAGGGAAAACGAATTGAGCCACAAATAAGGGTTGAATTTCATTATTCATAAGAGCTGAGTAAAAAAATTGATATTGAAGAAAAAACAATATTAAAGAAAGAATTTAAAGAAGAGTGTATTTAGTACATTTAAGGAGCGATTATAACGGATATGGGTTGAATTTCATTATACAATATAGCTGTGGAAAAAATTCACATTGAAGAAAAAGTAATATTAAAGAAGAGTGGCATATATCCGTGTATACAATATGAAATTTTTAAACTCGATAAATTTTAGCTTACCATAGTATCGTTCCACCACATGTGCAGCCTGTAGTTTCTTAGAACAGACGAGTGCTCATTAACATGGTCCAAAGCCAGCTTAACACTGGGCATAACACCTCGACCTGGAATCCAAAAAACACATTTTCCAGGAAAATATTACACACTTCTAATTAGTACAAAAGAAATTATAACTTGTTGATTTCGAGAGTTAACACAAAGCTTCTAATTTTGTTTGGACATTTCTCCAGCGTAGAGTTAATGAGGATCTTACCTGTGCCAGCATTTTCGACGCCTCTTCCATAGGGAAAGAACCCGGCGACGTAAACGTCGTGCTTTTTATTGTCCACGTTCGGTTTTTGGAAGTGGCAACATTTGGAGAAAATCAACAACAAACAAATCGAGTACGCCGCGAATCGGAACATTTTGCCTGGAGGATCCGCTGTCACACGTAGAAGGAGCGCTGTTTATTATCCGGAAAACTCGGTAACTGGGCTAGTGGAGCGACGTAATTAATCGCGAATCGGCGCATTTTTCCAGCCGTCCCAACCGGATTGAACTTACTATTCGGCGGCTTCGTGTTCGAACAGTCCGATCGCGAAAGATGAGAAAAAATAGGGGTAGGTTTTTCCGGTTCGAGTGGACAAAGTCGGTAGTTTAAACGGCGGTTATCCTTGATTTCCCGAGGCACATTTCTACAGCTTTATTGATTTCCGCACGCAGGATCCTTCGCGTCGGCCAGAGACAGCGCTCGAGGGCGCAGGTCGTCGATTTTAGTTTTAATTTATTAAAAACCGCCCGCTTGATCGGAACCAACCCCCAGATAACCGTTGAATTCGCGGAAACGCGGCTCTTTTAAATGCTTTTAAAGCCGATTAGTGTCCTCCAAATAAAAGTGCGTATATGGATGGAATAGATGAGAGGAAAAACAATCGTTATTTCTAAGGCTAAAGATTAAAAGGTTAATTAAAATACGGAGAGAAGTGTCTTTATTAAACATTTTCAGAGCAAAATTATATAAAACAAGTTGTGTTTATTAGATACACAATTAGTATTATAAAAATATGGTGAATAAATAAATAATAAATAGCGATACTTCTCACCTAATCAATCTTATTTTTTCCTAATTTATTAGTACCCTTTATTCCAGATTTTAATAAGGCAAACTTTTATTTTATATTTTTCTGAAAGCAGGACTTTTTAAAAAGAATTTAGTTTTTTCGTAAAATTAAAAAATAATTTTATTCCACTCCATAACACACTGTATAAGGCGAGCTGAATAAAACACGGGTATTCTGAAACCTTTTTAATAACACAGTGCTAAATATACAATTTACCAGTAAATTGGTACAAAAATAACAGTCAATATTGGTGCTAAGGCACTCTCACGATTGATCTAACAAAATTTCTCTAGCAATAAAAAAATGTATTATCTATTTTGTTTCAAACATGGTAACAAATAATACTAAAAATGATACAGAGTTCATGAATTTCCAAGCGAAACCTGCCCTAAACAATTCACTTGTGATGCGAAAATTTTATTATTCTTACTTTAAACGCAAAAAAATCATTCGCCGCCGTTATTTAGTAACTGTTTATCATAGAAAAACGTTGCTTTATAATAATTTTCATAAATCTTACAAAATAAAATACAAAATATAATAATTAACTTAAATTATATACATTAATTCCTGTACAAAAACAGACTAGACATAGGACACCCCTCTACTATAGTTAATGTACAAGTTTTTCTATGATATATTTTTTTAATTAATTTACAATTATCCAAGAAAACAAATTACCTAATTACAGGCCATTTTATTTGGCTGGAAATTTATATAAATTCCTTTGAAGTGAATTTGTTAATAAATCCGGGAGTTCAAAGAATCGCAATTCCTGAACGACCTGTACAATAAAAAAATAAAAAAAACTTTGGTTTGACGAATTCAAACTACTCTGCTACTTCATTTGGCTTCACTAGACGCAATAACAGTTATTTCGGTAAAAAAAAAACATATTTTAGAATAAAATTGCATGGAACGTATTATTAATTTTTCGAGAAAAACTACGATTAATTGCAACAATAGTACGACAAATCGAGAAATTAGTACAAAACCGCACACGTGATAAACACATCTAATTGAGCATCATCTTCATCGGTGACTCGATAGTTTTTCTTAAAAAAATACCTCTATCAGTACGCAAAAGTGTTTGTAATTACAAAAAACGTGTACATTATTTAAATTCCAAAAAGCGTTACACTCTCGTGCATCAAGGCCCCGATAATACTGAATCTGCGATGACCGTTGACAAAAATAGATTACGATCGATTTATTATATAATTCTCTGATATGTATGTACAATATTTTTTGGGTAAATTTATTGATATGCCCTAGTAAGAGATTACACTAAATTTTTGTTAATTAATTTTTAAAGTTGTGTATAAGAAAATATGAAAAGGTTTGCTTAAAGGTAATCTCTTTACAAGGCATTGTAGTAAATTTATTATTATAAATTTTGATAGATACAACGCAGACGTAAAATTCGCAAATTTAAACAATAGTTTCTGTTAAAACTCTGTATATAAAACTCCAACATCGGTTAATAATTGTACTCTCTTAAGGAATAAGCAGCTGCAATCCACCACAAATAATATCACTGTAAAGCAGCCGGCGGTTTAAATCGATTAGTTTTGCAGAAAACACCCTTGAAATATTTCCTCCACGTTTGCGGGAGAAAATTTCTGCAAGCAGGAAGGTGTGTAAGTGCACTTTTTGTATAATTGGAAATCACCATTTGGAAGGAATGTAACACTATCAAAAGCCCGGCCGCTTTACAGTCCAAAATCAGGAACATTTACAAGTAACAAGTGTTCTCAATTTCATAAAGTTTTAAACACTTGCTAAGGAAATTAAATAAAAAATAGTATTATTTGCACCAAACACAGTATGCAAAAGATAATCCGGTTCCCGGTAGAGCTGAAAGATGATCGACGTTTTTATAAAAATGGAACATACATTATCACAATTACTCCATTTTAATCGCTTCGATTACATCAGCCCCCTTTATAAAGAACTTTTAACTGCTGAAACTTACTTAATTGCATAATATAGATATTTAACGCTAATATAAATTGATATTACAATATTTTCGCAGGCACAATTTATCACATAAACGCTTTCGATTTATTTTTCAAAGTCAAAAGATATACTCATCTATTGCACCAGATTTAACACCAAAGGAAATGAGCGAACTAAACATTACTTATCATTAACTATGTACAATTAAATAAAAAAAGTATCTATTTACCTACATGTAGTTTTTTTTATATATTTTAACTGGAATGTATCTATGTACATTATAATGTGAAGTGTGTTAGATTAATCGTCGGTTATATTAGAAAAAAGTCTGCTAAGCCCATCACTTTTTTTCTCAAAGAAGATTAAAAATATGCACTCTTTTATAGAGTGAATCACGCTCAACGTAGGCAAATGATTTTTTAATGATATTTTTTTTCAAAAGTGTAAGTCGAAGGACCATTTGTCGACACTACTCCGTCCCGTTGAGCGTGACTCACCCTGTATATCTAAGGGTTCTTTAGAAGAGTCTAAAAAGTGGTGAATCCAATTAGAAAATCTCTAATTCGACAATTTACCAGCTCCACACACAACATTTGCATATATATTTTTTAGAAGGCGTTAAAAACTTTCGAGATCACTTAACGCATCTTTCAGTTCTACCACAACGAACGATGCCTGACTAAAGAATCAATCGAACAATAAATTACAACTACATAATGATTTTATAAAAACTAACCGTATGTAAAATTAGGACAATTAACAACATACTTTGGTAATAAATTTTTGGTCCCTGCGTGTCACTTTCCCCGCTTCTGCCGGCGGTTTCCTTCGAAATAAGGAAGCGCCAACAGGCCCCGCGGGAAGCGAGCACTAAACGGCGAACTGGCCGATTTTGTCGCCCAGAATACCCGGATCCAGCCGCTCGAGCCTCACGACCGGCACGGGTATCTCAGTCTTTCGTTTGATGATCAGCTTGGGCACGCCCTCCAGCGAGTTGGACTGCACCACCGAGTAGTCGCCGCACGCTATCTTCCCCCTGAACTCGTCCTCGGACTCGCTCTCCGACTCGCTGTTGGTCTGCGAGTAGAGGTTCCGGAAGCGCGCCTTCTTCTTCACCTTCTTCCGCTGCTGCTTCAGCTCCTTCTTGCCGGGGTCCTTGCGCGCCTCCGGCGCCGCCTTCTTCTGCTGGATCTGCCGCTTGTACGATATGATCTTCCTGATCATGTCCATCTCGTCGGCGCTGAGCTCCTCGTTGTTGAGGAACTTGTCGATCAGATCGATGAGGCGGGTGATTTTCGGCTTGGATAATGGGTCGAGGATTTGTCGTTCCAGCGACTTGGATTTGGGGATTTGGATGTTGAGGGTGCTCAGCTTGGATTCGACTTGGACTTTGTAGCTCTGCAGGATTTCGTCTTCGGAGCTCTCGGTGGTGCACGCTCTGGCTGTGAGGTCGTTAATGTCGAGGAGAGCGTTGGACTTGGCTCGGTTCTCGTCGATCAAGCCCTTGAATTCGCTGCATTTGGTATCGGAATCTTTGGAGGTCGAGTGGAATTTGGGCGACTGGGTTTCTTCCCAATCTAGGTTGTTTACTTTCACCGGGGAGTAATCGACTGGCTGCTTCTTTTTGGGCGGTGAAGGGTCTTTGGTTTTGAGCAGGTTTTCGTCTAAGGATTTGGCTCTGTGAGGTTTGATTCGCTCGGGGATACTTCCGTTGTCCGAAATGGATCTTTCTATTTTCGAAGGCTTTAATTCCTCTTCTTTGGCAGGCTCTTGTAGTTTTCGTTTTCTTTTGTTGTATTCTTCCAGGCTCAGTTTTTTCTTAGGCGGTTTGTGGCCGTAGAGGCGAGGATCTTCCAGTTTGCAATTCCTGATTTCTTTCACGGCGATTTCTTTAGCCACAACTCTTTTTTCTGGTGGCTTTATTGGCGGAGTGGCATCGGAAAAAGTAACTTTTTTAATTCTTTCACTCTCGTTTCCATCGTTTCCTGCGATAGATTTTTCCATTTTGGCGTCATCGTCTGTCGATTTAACTTGCAACCGTTTCTCATCGTCTTTCTGATTCTCATCGATTTTGATTGTAGAATCGATTCTCGAATCAGCTATGTTCTTCATCAATTTGAGTTTCTTCTTTTTCCTCGCCTCCACCAGCTCCGCGAACGGCACGTACTCGTCCTGCTCGACTTTGCGGGTCTCCTTCAACTTCTTCCGCTTCCTAGCCGCATCGAGGTCTTTCAACAGCGTTTTCTTCTCCAATTTCCCCGTCGAACGCTTCGACGAGTCCGGCGAGAACTTCTTCTTGTATTTGCTCGCGCTCGGCTTGACCTTCGTCGAACTGACTTTATCGTTGGAAGCGTACTCGTGCGTCCTGCTGTTGTCTAGTATATCTTCACTGGTGGTTATCGACGGTATCTGCAGGTCGCAATCGTACGCCTTCTTGGCCGCCTTGGTGGAAACCGCCGGCTGGTCGACGTCGAGCTTGATTTCCTCCTCCAAGCTCAAGTCCATGCCGATGATAATCTCGCTGGTGGTCTCCACTACGTCCGGTTCAGTGGCCGTTTCTTCAACGTAGTCGAGGATTTCCACGTTTTCCGCGTTGTCCGACGCTTCGTCGAGTTTAAGGGGATCCGTGACCTCCGCGTTGTCGTATATTTCGTAGTTGTCGTTGAAATCGACTATGGTTGTGTCGGATAACGGGGTGACTGTGATGACGTTCTTACCGTTAACGTTATTGACGTTGATTTCGACTAATTCGCCGGCGATTTCGAGCAGCACGTTGGACTCCTCCACTCTGATGACGTTCCTGTATTGCACTTCCTGAGGGTTTCCTTTCGCCTCGTCGGCGGCGCTTTCGGTTTTTTCGATTTCTTCTTCGGGTTGTTTGGTTTGATTAACCTCTTCGTTAACTTTAGAATTTGATTCATCACAATTGGTATTAATACTTTCTTCACTAACCTTCGTTTCTGTTTCGCTAATTGGTTTTTTCTCGTCTGTTGCTTCTTCTTTAGTTTCGATTTCTTGCGGTTTTTCGTCCTTCATTATCGCATCTTTATCTGTTATTATATCTTCGTCTGTTATTATAGGATTGGAATCCATTTCTGTCATTTCTTTCTTTTCGGATTGCTCTTGTGTAATTTTCTTTTTAAAATCTATCAAACTGAAATCTGCTATCGTTTCTCTATCTAAAAATTCTTCCGTTGTTTGTAGACTATGCCTCCTGGTGTAATTATCATTAGTAGACTGTTTTTGATTCTTGCCGATGTTGTTCATGATATCGTCCACTGAAAATATCCTTTTGTTTCTTCTCGTCGAGGCATTTTCCATTTTTTTCACATCGGTTTCTTTTTTAACTGGAGTTTTTGCAGTTTCTTCGCAAGTTTCTTCTTTTACTGGAGTCTTTGCAGTTTCTTCGCAAGTTTCTTTGCAAGTTTCTTTGCAAGTTTCTTCATTTAGTGGTTTTGTTATATCTTCTACTTCCTCATGTTTAGCGTCCATTTGTGGTGAATTTTCGATATCTTTTCTAGTTTCATCAATTGTAATATCATCTTTCGAATCCTCTTCTTTGGTTGGTTCTTCTTTTTCAGTATCCTTTATTGGACTAGGTAGGTTAGTAATTTCTTGATCTACTTCCTGCTTGATTTCTTTAGCTTGAGTCTCTATATTTTCCACAGCATCGTTAGTATCTTTCAGTAGCGATTCAATGTGCTTGTGTGGATCGTCGTCCTCCAAGTTAGGGCTTTGGCGATCCTCGTCTTCAGTCTTTGAATTTTCATTGCTAAAATGAGCGTCGACGAAAGGATTATCATCCTTGGGCGAATCGGTTAGTTCCTGTATGCTCGCTATTTCCTCCACTAAGCTGTTTTCGTTAGATTTCTCGCTCGTTTCTTTGTCTCCTTCGTCCTCGGCGAATCGCTCCAAATGCTCCAGGTTAATAGGCGAGCAGTTTTTATCGGCAGTTTCCTTAATTATGCTGCGACTGAGATCTTCTTCTAAGCTGTCGGTGATGATAGGCAGACTGGTCCCCACTTTAACCGGATCTTCTGCGGCTTTCTGGGCTTCATTACCGCGCGCTACTACAGTATTCTGGTGAACCACGACGCGCTGATTCTCGCCCATCTCTTGCCTCTGGCTCGGCTCGCTCGGTTTGTTAGCCAACATGCAATCCGACTTGACGGTGTCCATGATGTGGAGGTTGACGATACGCTCCCCGTTACTGTCGATTTCCACTTGACCGGTCTTCTCCACTATCCTCATCATCTCCGATCCGTTTACTATGGACACTCCGCTTTTGATTATGTACTGCCCCGATTCGGACGCCACCTGCTTTAGAAATTAAATTAGGCTTTACTGCGGTTTGTGTTTAATGAAATAATGTTACCACTGGTACGGGAACGCCGTTTTCCGACGCCACGACCGGTATCTCGTTCTCCAAGTATTGCAACTCGGAGGCGTTGATCATGTAGACGGTCTCCGTCGATTGCTCGTCTCTGCCTCTCAGATTTTCCTTGCACATTCTGGAGCTCTCCAGCTGGTTCATCTCGGAGGCAGTTTCTTCGTCGGCCCAATTCTCTATGTAATGTTTGATGCTGTCGGAGACTTGAACTCGGCTCTCCGGCAGCTCCTGAGGTATTTGATGGGGAAGGTACTGAGTGGGTCTGCAAACAACTCGTTTTAATGTAAGGTATTTTTAACAAATCGAGGTAAAGTACCTGCAGTGTTGCTGGTAGTATTCTTGAGCAACGGGCGCTCGCCTGTGCTGGTAGTGTTGAGCGTACTCAGGCGTGTTGTACTGGGCGTAATTCGGGGACATTTTCTGCGGGTTGATTCCTGCATAGTTCATCGGAATGCCCATGTTCTCCGGGTAGGCCCTCCTGGGCGACAGGCTCCGCTCGTGCGGGTTGACGGGCGGAAACCTGGGCGTCATCTGCGAGGGTCTGCTGTAACTGCAACTCGCCGGGTAATTGGAGTAGGGCATGTAGGCGTGAGGATAGGCGCTGTTTTGCATCCCCGAAGGGTAGTTCATGTACCGCTGGTTCTGCATGGGGTACATCCTGTTCTGGTCCATGGTTTGGTACGACGACTGCGATTCCTGCAGGTGGTGATCGCTCATTATCGACCTGGCCATGGTGGGGTGGATGCGCTGCAATTTGGAGAGGAAATCGTTTTCCTGCGGGTACTTGCGCACCTGCGATGGTAGCTGAGTGTACTTGGAGATTTGGGGAGGGATTTGCGTGGAGTATTGCGGTTCTTTGGGGTAGTACTGAGATTCCGGTTTGTAACCATGGTGTATCTGCAAGTAAATTACATGTACCCGATTTGCATACGAGAAATAGTTTGGTACTAACTTGTGGAGGTTCCTTATGGATGTATTGAGCGTGCGGGTGAAATTTCCCATCGTAGGCCTGCTGGCCGGTCAAATGATCGTACGATGATTTCATGTGCTGCTGTTGAACGTTGCACATGTCCACGTATTCTTTGGTTTTCGCCTTTTGGATAACCGACGAGGCCAAGTGGTCCTGGACAGAGGCGTGCGATTCGGAGATCTCGGAGTATTTCACAGGTTGCTGTAATCTGGCGAAACGATCAACTTAAGCTAATGGGGCGTTTAAAGAGTCTTTAGTTTACCCGTAGTCTGGATATTGCGGTGGATAGCGGTAGCATTCGGCGGACGATTTGGGCGGAAAGTGATTGTGTGGCGCCACCCTTGCGATGTGGCTTTCGACCGGTACTGCTGGATTATTGCCTTCATTGTGCTGTTGCTTGTCTTCGTTTTTCCTTCTAAATTGTCTAAGGGAACTCGTTATACTCCCACTAGAAGTCTGCAAACGCAACACATTATATCACTACTATAATAAATTATAGCATTTAATTGTCGGATTTTTCGATTCAATTAAATTGGGACAATTAAATCAGGTAGTAAAAACTTATAAACAAACAATGACAAGAGGAACTTCCTAATCCACCACAAATACCACAATAGTGTAATAATTATTCAGAAAATATATGAATATAAAGGAAACTATGTTGAATATAAATACTCAACTAATTGGAAATTACTACTGCACTTACTGTCTATTTACTACTGTATTTTATCAATATTATCAGTACTATTTCGTTGACATATCGCACTATCGAATTCAATTAGGCGTAGGTATTAATATACAATCTACAATTATTTTTTACAAAAATTGGTTCATATCTATTTATAATCTTTCCAAACAACTCCAACTAAATTGAATGAATTGCAGATAAACAGAGAATAAGGAGCTTGATGCTTAATGGAGATTCCTCATTTGGTTTATAAATTATTCGGTATTAAATTATAATTTTTACTTACTGTAGTTTCTGTGTGACCGCCGTAAGGTGCAGATTGGTGGGAAGAAGCACCTACTTGGCCATACTGTTGTCCGGCATTCTGCATGAGGCACTGCAACAAACGTACCTATTTAATATAAAATATAAAATTTCGATTATTCCTCTGCAAACATTAAAAAATAAATACTCATCTCGTGCAAAACTATCTGAAGAAAAGATAACAGACGGGCAGGTGTGCATAATAAAGGGTTGAACATCAAATCAAATAAAATAAAACTAGGTATTTCGCGGGATGTATATCATTGAGAAATTTATAGAAACAACATCGATCTGAAACCTATAATTCCAGTTTATCCGGCCGGTAAGCGTAATTACAATCGAAAAGTTTTTCTGTTACATTATTTAAGGTAAGAGCGTTTAAATAAGCGAGCCGTAATTTAGTTTAAAACACGTCCTATTATTCATAATATTCGTACGGTAGTCATGTAATTCACACGATCACGATTTCGAAATAATATCTACTAATGCCGAAATTAAAACGAAGGTTGCTTTGAAGTAATTACATAAAAAAATGTGTATTATGAAGAGCGCATTAAATTTTATACGAACGTTACGGTAACGCATATAGTGGATAGTAATTGATTTTGATTCATTTGTAAGTTTATTTTATATAAAATATTGTTTTATGCAGTCTAAATTTATCTGTTTATTGGATAAAGTTTATTTTCTTTGCATTAGGTATTAAACAAAATTGGGAGTTTATTTTTACTATTTATAATTAATTTTTTAAGTGTGATATTATTCATGCTTTGTTTAAATTAATAAAATGAAAAATCATCTACTAGACTAGAAGGACGAATAAAATTGTGGAGAGAAGTGGTGAAATATTAATGTATATTCGAAAATGTGTTGCGTGTGTTTTAAATAATGCCGGTATATCGCAATAGGTAAACATTCGTATAGACGTCTTATAATTATCAGGAAAATTACATAGACATTATCCACAAATCGGAGAAAATACAGTTTTTGAATATTTTAATGGCACATGACGTCGACCGTATCGCAGATTTAAAATAATATCAATTCGCTGTGACATTGAGCGAAACAATACAACATTTAGGTGAGTTTTTCGGAGTTTCTTATCTTTCGTTCGTTACACACAAGCGAATTTAAATGCGAATATAAATAAAATAAAATTATTCAAATAGAGCCCGAGCCTAAACTGAAATTTTAATGTTACTAAAACAAGTAGGTAAAGTCGGTTTCTTAGATAACAAACATTTTGTTCAGCTTGTAGTAGGTAGTTTAAAAACGCAGTGGTAAATCGAGCGCAGAAATTTATTCTATTAAATGTTTTAGGCAGAAGATATTTTTCAGAGAGGATTATTAGAATTCATTACACATTTTTTTTACAAAGTTATTGGCTCAGCAGAGCAGAGCAGAGCAGAGCAGAGCAGAGCAGAGCAGAGCAGAGCAGAGCAGAGCAGAGCAGAGCAGAGCAGAGCAGAGCAGAGCAGAGCAGAGCAGAGCAGAGCAGAGCAGAGCAGAGCAGAGCAGAGCAGAGCAGAGCAGAGCAGAGCAGAGCAGAGCAGAGCAGAGCAGAGCAGAGCAGAGCAGAGCAGAGCAGAGCAGAGCAGAGCAGAGCAGAGCAGAGCAGAGCAGAGCAGAGCAGAGCAGAGCAGAGCAGAGCAGAGCAGAGCAGAGCAGAGCAGAGCAGAGCAGAGCAGAGCAGAGCAGAGCAGAGCAGAGCAGAGCAGAGCAGAGCAGAGCAGAGCAGAGCAGAGCAGAGCAGAGCAGAGCAGAGCAGAGCAGAGCAGAGCAGAGCAAAGAGGAGTAGAATAGAGTAGGGTGCATGAAGAATTCTATTTTTTATAATTATTCATAATATTAAAAAAGATTATCTACTGGAAACACTTCGCTGTAAACAAAAATTCTCAATCATCAAAAGGTTATCATGTGTGGTTATTTTCCGGGTACTCTGCACCCAGTTTAGATATAAGATATAGGACTAAAATCTATAATCCATCTTGCGCCCCATTTACGTCCATTTAAAATATCCTTAATAATTTACATTTTTCTGTATAATTTGAAAAAATTATAATGTCTTATTTCCAACACCCTCAATTGAATTACCTATAGTAAGTAAAAAGTAATTTATATGAAAAAAAAACAACATGGAATTTTCACCTTGAAGGTAATTTTTCGATATGTAAGCTTTTAATAAAGTTGCTAAACTCTGTTTGAGTAAACAACTGATCGTTCAACCAATCAATTAACCAACGTATGCATGTATTTGTTCTGTGAACTATTATTCTTCCTTGTAAATACGTTACCTTTGGGTTGGGCAGGCATATAATAAAAATCGACGTACTTTTATTTTCATTTGATGTCGGAAATAAAAATAGGGCGAATCCATTAAGTAATGGGGCACTTTCGTATCGATCGATTTTGTTGAATTTTCCAATCGAAGTTAATAAATTATATCCGCTAATACGGCCGATCTATCACTAATTTATCGGATCGGAATGCGTACTTGCTGGATTTTCCTGTTACAAATCTTTGAATTTTTTATTAAACTTTAATAATAACGCCGATGAGAAATGTATACGAGTTAAATGAAAGAGGGACGAAAAATATATTTTATGAGTCGTTCGTATAAATGTGCGCGATAATCGTAAAACACGCCGTAAAGCTATTGAATCAAAAATTGTTAATCGAATATTAATAGATTAAATATACGTTAGCTTAATTATGATTTCGTTCGATTAATGGACATATTTATAATTTGAACACAACACGCATTCAACGTTTTCAATATAAAATAGGCTACTTTAGCAATTCCGAATTAATCTTCCACAAATCTACGAAATTTCTAGCATATAGTGCTTGAAGAAACCGTAATTTATACGATTTATTTCGCACGTAATCGACTTTACATTCTATCGAGTGTCCTATCCTCTAATAACATGCAGCAAAGTAGGTGGGTATTGAATTTTTTTTCGGCTAGGCGGCTTTCGCATTTGCATCACTTATTAGTATTCCGGGTGCTGGTGCTTTCATAGTGGCAATCAACACACGGAAGGTTCTAATATTTCATGCCAGGTCTCGTTACAGTTAATCTTTTCGCTCAATATCCGATTCCATACCTTACGGTTATTAAGCAGGTTCGATTTCAACCTACAGGGCGATTCAAGGGATATTTTTTTCAGTAGAAAATTTCTAGGAGTAGAGCAATGAGTACGTATCAGGAGAAATAAAAAAATATTGTTTATTTGATTTATTTGCGAATTTATAAATTATAGTTCTGTTCTACTAAATTTCAGCTAATTTTACCTAAAGATGCAATTTTTATTTTTAACCGTCCTTTCTTATGTTAAATTACAACGTACTAAACATGGCTTGGTAACAAAAAATAACCATGCACTGACAATTTAACTGTCGCAGTCATTAGTACTATCTACATATGCATCTAATTTATCTAACTCGTTCGACAAATTTGTATAACACTACCCGTTTTTCTATGCGCTGTAACATTCTATAGGTTGAGTAAAACAACAAATATTGTTGAACTTTGCGGATTACTGTATTAACAGTATCAAACGGGTAGGATATTGAATGTATCAATTTACACGAGGACGAGAAGTGGCATTTTCTTCTTTCTTACAAACAGAACAAACATTTAACCGATTAGTGGCATTCGAACAAAACAAGGAAGCATTTTCAAATTTAAAGAAAACAGTAGGTAGGTAACAGCATATAATTTTAAAACTTACTTATATTTCTACTATATTATTACATTGAGTGCTTTAAATCATGTAGAAAGATATGTGTAATAATATTTTTTATAATAACTAGCTACTGTATTAGTGTTTTTGTAAATAGCCTCACGTTAATGTGACAATATTGACATTATATTCATGTCAAAATAGCGTAAATTCGTAAAAACTAGCAATTATTAAACCAATATAAGTAAAAACCAATTAAACTATAATCATTGGCAGGAACTTTTCAATGGAATCGAGAACAATAGTGTACACAAAACCAGATGCAGGCGTATCAGAAAAAAAAACGAAAATCGAATTTCCCTAAACTGATAAAAGTGATATGAATAACAAAAACTAATTTATTCGTTGATTGAGTTTTTAATTAAAATACATTGGATACGTTTTAAAATAGCCGCGGCTGCGAAATGCTGAAAGAATCTCGATAGGTCAATTTTCGACGGTCAATTAAAATTCACGTCGCCGGTGCAATACGAATTAATGCTAGTTCGGAGAAATTAATTATTAATTATGCACTTAATTAAACGCTAGAATAAGGTCAGTATGTCTGTTCGGCTGATATTATACAATAGTTTTAGTACCATTTTTTGTAAAGGTGAATCCTCATTAGGTACTTACTCAATATTAATCACACTGTATAAAGCATTCTTATTACCCAGCACTTCAATATTGACACAATCTAATCTTTTTTAAGCCGATTTTTATTGTATTTTATTGCGTTAAAGTACTTCAACTGATCTATCTCTAAAAATATACTAAAAAACAATAAAACAATTTCATCTCTTCGCTCGTAGCTTGTATTTTGCCACATTTCTTGTTATCGTTACACGTTCGGTGTATTTGGAGTGTTTATGAAAATCGCTCTCAATGCCGAAAAGGCTCCAATGACTGGAATTTTACAAGCTAGTTTGCTCACTAATCTTCGACGCGACTGATAACGCTCCGATAACGAGTCCTTAAAAACAAGGGGAAGGTTAATTTATGTTTAAGTAAAACTGCGAGTAAACATGATAATTTCCGAATAAACATCACAATTAAAATTTTAATTGCGAGCGTGGCGTGTTTATGCATTATGAAAACGAAAAAGCGAACAAAAAAATCGAACGATTGTAGTCAATCAGGAAAATTTGTTATTTAAAACAGCCGGGTAAAAAACGTAAGTACAAAAAAGGTCGTTCGTAACTAGGTTATCGAATTGAATTTTGCTTTTTGTAACAACACCTATCACCGGTTAAGTATTCAGTGTTTCGCCGGTTATTAGGCACTTATCGAATCGGGTGAGTTTGAATTCCTAAAAAAAACAATATATTTTTTTCTACAATTCGTAATCCTCGAATACTTTCCAGCGATAACATTTTAACATTTACTGATAACATTTGACTCGAGATTAGAAGACGTTTGCTTCATCGTGATGTTTCAAGTCGGCTTGTTGATGCTACATTACAAATTCACCAGTAACCGGTACTAATAATTCCAAAAAAATAACCTAGTAAGTTTGTAATCGAAAAGTAAGATAATTTTGTATTAACTAATATCCCAAAGGGGTAACTTATTTACACTTTATACTTACAGGATAAACAAGGAATAAAATAATGAAAATTTCGTTAACATTAACATCGTAATTCATTTTAGTCGCAGGTACTATAGGAAGAATGAAGCAATTTCAAAGAAAAAAAGGCCTTAGAAGAAAATAACGTAACGCAATAAACGATCCGGGGTCGATACTCGAAAGTAATAAGGATTTTTTCTGTAATTATTGCGAGATAAAAGTTTTATCGCCGAGGTAATTAGCCGCTAGGAACCAGACTTAGATAGCCGGCATTAATTTCTCAAATAACAGCGATAATAATTATTTTGGAATCGTAAATACATACACACGTTTTCGACTAAGCTCTCTGCTGGACGAAAACGAACTCCCTTCGTCAAGTTTCAATCGAAATCGAAAAATTTAACGAACGTGATAACGATTTTTTTAGAAAGTGTAAGTAAAATACTCAAATTTCAATAGTAGGTTTATGGAATAGTTTAATAAATTCTGTGAAATTTTAGTGTTTTAATGTTAGTGTAATTTTTCATATTTACATACATTTTTGGAAAATTTACAAATTCTGTTGAACAAAAATCGAAGTGACCGATAATCCTGTATAATCTACGCACAAATTATATAGTCTGTTGGAGTACAAATACAATTTTTTCACTATCTGGCCGGGTCATTTGAAGTTAATCTTATTGACTCGAAGTAATACGTGATATGACACCGTAAATATTTATAAAACGAAAGTAACATTCGTAAAACAGTACAAAATTATATCGAGCATTATTAGAAAAGCATTAACAGTAGTTTACATTTTGCCTCTCCAGTTGATTAGAGCATTCGGAAAACAGGCTATAAATAAAACTCGCTCAGCTAAATGAATAGGATAATAGAAGAAAAAGTACCTACCTTTGTAATGGTAAAGTCAATATTATTTCGATTTAAATTGAATGTGTACTAATAGATTATTACTTGTGTAACTGAAAATTTGAATAAACATTTAATTAGGGAGATGCAATAACATTTAATCTTATCTGTTGTTAGACCTTATTCTTTTTTGTCAACGTTTACTTCTTAGTATAAGTTCAATCTCTCTAATTTGAGGAGTCAAAAGGAACTAAATTTTAATCAACAATTGAAGTTTTAATGAAAATATTCACTGTGTTTTTCGACTTGAATTGCTGATGAGTCTCGAACGAAATGAGACACTTCGAAAGCAGGCGATAAAATGCGAAAAATGATAAATATCCAGATACTCAAAAACTCGAAAATAATATTGAGATTTTGTAATACCCAAGAAGAGCGCCTATCTAATCTGATAAAGTACAGTGCACGGTAAAACTTTGAATTTCTACTCATGCTCTTACCTAAAAAAACTTTCACTCGATGAAAAAGAAAAGGTAAGAAAAATAATAAGTGCATATTAAAACGATTATATTTAAAACAAATCTCATAAAGGTTCGCCACAACTCTATATTTTTATCAGGATTTTAAATTAAACAAGCCAGAAGTGCCAAAGTCTTTATTTACTAACCTTTTTCGTGCCATTTTCTGTAATTATTTGAAAACAGCCTTTCGAATTCTTCGATTAAAGTGACGATTGAATCGATACCTAATTAAATTAAGAAACATATTTGTTCAAACTTTTCGAAAACAGAGCGAAAGCATTTCAAATATTATCGGAACAAACCGCACCGATAATATTATTTCAACGAGCGCTTATTAATTTGAATTTTAAAACGTTCCTTTGACTTTGAATAGGTAAACATCACTAGCGACGAAAAATTACTTTCCAGGTCAACTGCGGGGAGTAAGCTTTTTGAAATTCATGAATAAATAAGCGTAAACTTCCATACATTTCCGTGGAAGAGTTGCTAGAATGTATAAGCAAGTTCTGTTAAATCACCACATAAACTACGAACAAATTGGAAATAGCCATAAAACATTTTTAATAAAATTGTAAACTGATTTTATTTATGTAGGCTGATGGATAATAACTGAATACAAGTAAGGTATTTTTGTTATAAATATTAGAAAAATCTTCAGGTAAATAGGGTAGAGAATTTAAGGAACTTAAGAAAAACATTTCTTATGGAAAATGAATGAAATAAGCACAAATAAAACTTATAAATGATTCATACTACAACTTTAAAATAGAAATTTTGTTGGAGACGGAATATTACATGGGCAAGTTTTCAATAAAAGTAGTTCATATTAATTCATAAATACTATTTTATCTATTTAATGCTATATCTAAAAGAGTTTTCATTTAGAAAATCGTAGGTATTAAATTAAATGCAAATTAAATAATTAATTGAGAATCGATTATTCCCGATGAAATTGTAGGCGTGTAGTGAAATGAAAAGTTACAGGTTGTTTCGTAATTTTAGTCATGAAATTTCTGATGCATTAATATTGATGTTATTGTTAGAGCTATAACAAGGTTAGCTATTTTATTTATTTAAAAATTACAGGAAATAAATAAATGAAAAAATAATAAAGTAAATCTAATATTACATTGACCTATCACCGAATTGTGGATAAAAAAATTTAAATTAATTATTACATGTAGAAAAAAAATTAAAGTTAAACCTTGCGAAACACGTTTTTGAATTTTAATAAATTAGTTATGTATATTGCATTGTCGATAGAAGTTTTCAGGATTCCATGTGAAGATATCAAATTGAAATTAAAAAAAAATCAAGTGGTTTGCAGATCAAATAAAGTGTACAGGATAAGAAGGTATGTATTTCGTATTGACTTAATTAAATTAACTTGATAATAGCAATGGCCTTCGATTTTCAAGGGTCGACAACTCATTAATATAAAAAATTCACGTATTTTTAACAGTACATAATAAATAATTTAAATTATGTTAACTATAAGTAGTTCATTATGCAAGCTTTTTAATTTAGTTAGGTACTGTCCGAATTTTATTTTGATCTTATATTCGTCTCCTTACCGATTTATTTCTCGATTTGTTTTTTAATTGTACCATTATTTATATCGAAAATTTTTCCATCTACATAATGGTGGAAGATTAAAATATTTTGTCTTGCTGTATTTATAATACCTATCATTATTTATGCTGATAATGATTTTTAGTTAACAAAATTTAAGTATTTAAAAAATTCTGCGAACGCGTTAATGAGATAATATTTAAGCATACATTCAATATTTTTAAAATATAATTAACTCTTACCAAGAAATTTAGCTCATTTACCAGGATTATATTAAATTTTCTTCCTTTGGAATATTGCATTCCAATTCGAGTTTGACATTAATGTATTGTTAAAGAATAAATAATTGTCCCAAACGAAAGGGGTCATGTTTTATTGAATTAAAAAAGAAATAAGAGTGTGACAAGGTCGACAAATTAAAAGATTAAAATAATTATAACTTAACTTCTCAATTAATACCGAACTTGTTTAATTTCAACACGCACTCTCACGCATTCAAAATAAACGAGATTTAACAAAAGCCAATTTAGTTTAATTTTTCCCTACTTTACGGTAACAATTCCACATTTAATAAGCAGTTAATTACTACTAATAAATCAGTGTTTATAGGCACGTGCCGGCTTCGATTACTCCAACGAAAACGCATTTATTTATTATTAAATAATAGATAGGAAGGTAAATAAATACGAGGTAGGTAAACCGAGAGGAAGTGGCAAATTTTCGCGAAATTACGAATAAGCGCGTCAATCAACGTGTCAAAAGATAAAAAAAATTAACAACGATAACCAGCGCAGAAATTGTTAAACAAAAAATTCCGATGTCGCTTACGCATATAACGAACCGTGCCGTTGGTCGTGGAAATTAAATTAAAAAAAATACACTGACACAAGCGTTTAGTTTGCGATTTCTTCGTAACAATAACAGCAATTAATTGCGACAGCGAAATAAATTTAATAAAATTCGTTTCGCACTGTATCGAATTCATTACCGTGTTGTATTGACAAAACAAAACAAACGGGAGCGCAAGAAGTGTGTACCTAGAGATGCGGATAAATAAAATAAATATATAAATTAAAAGACAATCGAATTAAACGCACGTCAAGGTTGTCGCTAAACTAATTTATGAAATATTTGTAGCAGCGCGCGGCACAACACCAAATTGACCATTACGAATTTTATTCGAAAAGTTTCCCAGTTAAGCCACCTAAGCACCGAAATTCAGGTAAAAAGCGAATCGATTATCGACGGATTTTCCCCGACAGAGTCGATAAATTTTCGCGCAAATTCGACGATTACACGGAGCCAACCCCGACGGGCGTTTTCGGCCCGTTTTCGGGCCGAATGTCCGTTTACAAAATCGAAATAAACACAAAAAACTCACCTACTAGTGTTTATCACTGATAACAGTACACTCCATGTTGGAAATTAATGTCAAATATCAAACCAGAATGGTGTTTACAAACCTCGTCATGTGACAAACGAGCGACATGCGCCGCGGAAATCGCACACGCGATAAACCATACCCGACGTCGGGCTCGAAGACCACCGTAAATTCGAAACGAAACGAAAACGCTCCGCACAATACACACACATACATACACGCATACGCGATCGAAACGAGAAACGTAAGTTTCAACGTGAAAACCAACGGTAGCCCGAGCCCATTTTTACCACTACCACTTACGCGCCACAACACAAAATGCACGGTTTGAATCGACGTCGAACGGTGCTCGCAATTGGACGCCCGCGCGCCGGTTTGGTTACCCCGTACATCCCCCAAATACAGCTTCTTTACCACTGGGTTATTAAGTTTCACGTGGTCTTTTATGTAGCTGGTATACAGGTATTATAGTGGTAAATACGGACACCTAAGAAGAAAAAAACATATTTGAGTTTCTAAATCGATAAAAAATTAAATTTCTGAAGAGATTAGAAAAATCACGACTTCAATGAAGGACCTCAATACCTCAAAAAAATGATACCCTCGAAGAGACCAGAAGAAGCTCTAGAAAGATATTTATAACGAAGAGATAGCACAATATTTTAGGCTCTAAATAAAAAAAAGAAATGAAAACTCTGAAGAGATTACAATAATCACAACTTCAAGACCTCAAGAAAAAATGGGACCCTTAAAGAGACCAGAAGAAGCCTTAGAAAAATATTAACAACGAAGAGATAACACAATATCTTAAGTTCTAAATTGAAAAAAAAAATTAAATCTCTAAAGATATTAGAATAATCGCAACTTGAAGACCCCAAGAAAAAAATAGTACCCCTGAAGAGACCAGAAGAAGCCCTAGGAAGATATTTCTAACAAATAGACAGCACAATTCAAACAATTCATGACATGTACAAAAACTACATTATTTCTACATATTTATCTAATACATACATATATTACATTATTTTAAATACTTAAATTACTACAGAAATGTACTAACGAAATATATCTCCTCCACTTCCTTTGTGATTAGCAATTAAGTATTTTAGTAAGTAGGTATTAGGAATTTTAACGACTTCTTTATTCTTCATCTGCATTACAAACTATACTCTTAAACGTTTCTTCAAAACAAGTAATTGATAAAAAATTTCATGAATTTGTTCAAGGCAAAAAACGTTCATAGAATTTTTTTCTCGATATATCGACGATTCCTGGATATAAAGCGATCAATAATGTCACGGACAACAGACATAAATAATATTTAGCTCCGAATAACGAAGGAAAAAATATCCGATTGTGTTGTTTTAAAAATTAAAGAGATTAAAGAACAGTTCTTCTAATTCATCTCGTCTACGTAATTTCGTAGACACTTTAAGTTAAATAATATAAAGAGTTTGACGATAAAATTGCTGAACTGTTAACAATGCTGAATTTGTATCTGGAGCAGAACGCGCAAAAACGCTGAAACGTCTTCTTTTTTTATCTGTTTTACCAGATTAAGAGAAATTGTTCTCCAAGAATTATTTGTTGTAGAAATTCCATTAAAAACCATTTTAAAATAAATTACTACAATTTTATAAAAAAAACTACAAGGCGGTTTGATAACGTTTCTAAACTATAAAAACAATGGAACGTTTGGACTGTGTAATAGAAATTAGGTATTTAAAAAAATTGATTATTTTGTTCAATATGAATTTTAAGAATGGCGTTGAGCTTTTGTAAAAATTAGGAAGTTCCCTTACAGAGACAAAATACATGGTGTTCCGTATAAGAACCAACGTAGAGCATATGTTTATTTAACCAAACTCAGCTTAAAACAAAGTTACATTCCTGAGAAGTTATAGGCCTTCAAAGTAGAGTTACTAATTTAAAAAATATTAATATCTCAGTAATAATGTTACGTAACTGAAATCAATTAAATTTGGTATACGTTGAGAGTGTACTAAGAGCACTAAACGATTGTTAGTAGTATAGTAAAACTTATTTATTCTTTTTGTTTTTTAAAATTCTTTGGCGTTTTGATGAAAAACGCTAAAAAACGCTATTCTGAGTCGGTTCTTCTGCGGGATACCTTGTAAAATATTTGAAGAGAATTTGTTTTAACGAAGAATTAGAGCAAATTAAATTACAACAAGAATAGGACATTACAATAGGAATAAAAAATTAGGCCCATATTCATAATTTATACATTTATTACAACTTTTTAACAGCAATTCCTCCAATCCTCCATGGTAAGGATAATTGTAAAAACCCTAACATAAGTCAAAGTATTAATGCTTATGTAATTTGAACTCTTCCACTATTTCAGGTAAGAACTCGAACAAATTTTTAACGTTCATGTCAGGAGATAAATTGCAGTCATAAGGATACTTTTGGACAATTTTGGTACATTTAACATCTTTGCACATCATAGAAGTGAGTACAAGAGAAGGCCTCTCTGAGGGAAATTTACTACCTACAACAATAACATTCAATACAAACATTAAATAAATGATGAAGCAAAAGAATCTTTACCTATATTAACACTAACTAAGCAGGTGTAATCATTAATACTGTACGAAAACACGGCTTCGTTGAAAGACATGACATCGTATTCAGTAATTCCATCCACACACCTCGATACGATGTTCGTAATATAAATTTTCTTTAATTTGTTCAGAGCTACAATTTGCTGAATCCTATTAGCGATTTTCTTGGATACCGATGAAACGATGTCGATTAAAGGAGTATCTTTTTTGAAATCGGTTTTATAAAATTTGAAATTTTCCAAGGCTTGCCCTAATCGAGGCGATAAAATTACAGAACAATTGAGCCGCATTCCCTCCGATTTCAATATGGATACCTTCAGATGGCAAAAATCAGTGCCTGCATCTAGTGGCAGTTGCTCGTATGATACATTGTAGCGTTTACGTCTATAAATACATAAAAATGCATTAATTGTAATAATTGATGTATTAATTACTTACACGTCCATATATTCCGGTAAAGAAGAACAATCTATTTTTAGTGCTATAAGAAACACAACACTATTCCCTTCGATGCTAATTTGGACATTATCATCTTGTATTCCTTCCATTTTTCTAATAAGTACTTCGTACTCCTCCAAGTATCGCGAGTACATTATATTTTCCAATTTTAATTTTTCGATCTAAACAATCAGCATAATTGCAGTACAAGTAACGCTCAATCTGATTAATATTTACCTGGTATTTTTTGTATACAACTAAAAACTCATTGATTAGTCGTGATAACGATTCGGGATTTTTTACATTCCAATTCTTCCAAGCATGGGAATTTTCGAATGTGGTTTCTATGCTAAAATAACTCATGAATTCTTCGTCGTTAAAATCGAAATCGGGCGCAAATTCGTACTCTTCCGGATCAAATATGATTTCCCATTTGAGTTTTTTGCCTGCGTAGGGAATTTTGAACACCAAGTGAAAGTTTTGGTCCAAGTCGTATTTTATTGAGTGAATATTCGAAACAATTGTTATATCGTCCAAACCAATACGAAGAAATCCTTAAAATTATATTATGTTAAAAGAAATGTTGAAAAGGGCAGGAATTCACATACCTATTGTACTTTGTAAGCATATATGTTTTATGTTATTTCTTAACAATAAAGGAAAATTATTTAAAATATTGTCAGTGTTATTCAACAATTCACCCATGTCGACAATGAAATAATGAAAAACTGATATTAAAAATTAAAGAAAATTACTAATGTTTATAACAAAAATCCATTAGTCAAATATCATCTTCTTTCTTCTTAATTAAACTAATAATTTTATTGATAAAGACCACATAAGACACGAATGCGCTATAAGAAAGAGGCCAATAACACCACAAATCACATCTTCTCATGCTGACTCGTTTACTCCGTGCTCGACTTATGTCTTATGTCACATGTCACTTGTCGAGAATGCCATGTGTCATTCATTAACGTCAATTAAGATTGGCAAGAATTTTGTAACACAATCTATATTTTCATAAATATCTTTAGCGAATAATTAAATAAAAGTAGAAACCGAAAATTATTACTCATAATCTAGCAATAGATTAGATTAATATAACTGCGCATAAATAAATTACTTCGTTTAGCAAGTACTGTTAAGTATAAACATGGCAGATTACCTTAATTCAGAAGCAGAGGAATCTAGCGAGGTAAATAATGAATTTTCGGTTATACTTCATTCAATTTCGTTATAAATTAGTTTTGATTTTGCAGTTTTGTTTATTTATTATATTAATTCGCCACGTTTTGTTTGTTGTAATTAAATTTTGTTTACTAAATCAAATGTTACTTTAGGAGGAAGAAGTAGACCATAGGGATCGAAAGAAGGCACAAAAAGCTAAACTTGTGGATAGTTCCGACGAGGAAGAGGAAGATGGTTCGCATTTACTTTTATTGTCTCGTATATATTTACTGAATATTAAATTTTAGATGACGAAGAAAAAATTAGAGAAGAATTAAAAGATCTTATCGATGATAATCCAATTGAAGAAAGCGATGCCGAATCCGATGCTTCAGGTTATTAACTTCACCATAAACTATTAATAAATGATTGTAACATGAGTGCATTGTAGGTCGTGAAAAAAGAAAAAAATCGGATGATGAAGACCTCGACGATCGATTGGAAGACGAAGATTACGATCTGTTGGAAGAAAATTTGGGTCATAAAGTAGAGAGAAGGGTAAGTTCTACTCCGGTAATGAATTTCATATAAAACTAATCTTATCGTTTAAAGAAATTCAAACGTTTGCGCCGGTTTGACGATGAAGAAAGCGAAGGAGAAGAAGAACACGATCCGGAGCAAGATCGCGAACAAATCGCTATGGACATATTCTCCGATGATGTAAGTATTACTTTTTTATATCCCCATGGACTATTAAAATTTCTATTGCTATTCTCTGCTTTCCTATTAATAAGGAAAAAGACGATCGTCACAAAAAGGTAATTAAGAAGTTGAAGTAATCGAATTATTTATGAATCGTTTCTGTTAAATTAGGATGAAGAAAGAAGATCGGAAAGAAGCCAAAGACCCGTAGTCGAGCAAGAATCCTTCGGGGTGGGCGAAGAGGAAGAAGAAGGCGATTATTCGGACGCTGATGATTTTATTGTAGACGATGACGGTAGACCTTTGATCGAGAAAAAGAGGAAGAAGAAACCGATCTTCACCGACGCCGCTCTACAAGAAGCTCAAGAAACTTTCGGTGTCGACTTCGATTACGACGAATTCACCAAGTACGATCAAGATGAATATGAAGACGAGGAGGACGAAGAAGAGGACGAGTACGAAGAAGATGACAACGAGCGAAGGTAAATAATTACACTCAAAATGTAATCGTGAAATAAATTTTTTCGAATTATAAGGAAACATCCGAAGAAAGCTGCAAGGAAGAAGCTTACCAAAAAGTCCATTTTCGAAGTGTACGAGCCGAGCGAATTGAAGAGAGGTTTCTTCACGGATCTCGATAATGAGGTTCGTAACACCGATATACCCGAGCGAATGCAACTTCGTGACGTTCCCATTACACCCGTAACGGACGATTCCACCGAGCTGGAAGATGAAGCAGAGTGGATTTACAGACAAGCGTTTTGTAACAAAGCGATATCGAATGTAGATGCGCACCTTTCTGCCGAAGCGAGAGAGAAAATGAAGAAAGGCTCCCAAACCGTTGGGAAAATAAAGAAAGCGCTGGATTTCATGAGGAATCAACAGCTCGAGGTGCCCTTCATCGCCTTTTACAGAAAGGAGTACGTTCAACCTGAACTCAACATTAACGATTTGTGGAAAGTTTACAAATACGATGCTAAGGTAAACCAAAAATTTCTACAATTATCGCGATTTACTAACTTTCTTTTATCGTTATTAAGTGGTGTCAACTGAAGTCTCGGAAGGAGAACCTCCTTAAACTCTTCGACAAAATGAGGCATTATCAATTGGATCAACTCATAAAAAATCCGGATGCTCCTATTCCGGACAACGTGCGAGTGATGAAAGATTCGGACATCGAACGACTAAAAAACGTCCAAACTGCTGAAGAACTCAATGATGTTCACAATCATTTCATATTGTATTATTCCGGGGATTTGCCGGCTATGCACGCCGCTTGGAGAATAAAGGAAAAAGAACAGAGGAGATACGAGAAGCGACAAAAAAGGCACGATTATACACGATAAATCGTATTTATTTTATATTTAATCGACGTTTTATTATCAGACTCAAACAAATAGCCGAAGCGGAAGACGGTGCTGAGATACCCGATGAACCTGAGGATGACGATGACGATGAACCAGAAACCGAAACTTTGAAGTACGCTAATCGATCAGGCAGTTACGCTTTATGCTCCAAAGCTGGATTAGGTAAAGTTTCCACAAGGGTACATTTGAAAAGTATCTTCATATTATTTTCTCGTAGATCCTTTGGCGAAGAAGTTTGGTTTATCCCCGGAGCAATTTGCTGAGAATTTGAGAGATAATTATCAAAGACACGAAGTCGATCAAGAGCCCGTCGAACCCTCTGAAGTTGCCAGAGAGTTTATTTCTCCGTAAGCGCATTATTCTCTTTTATATAAGAAATTAGTTGTTTAATTTTATTGCTTTATTTTCAGTAAATTTTCAACGGTCGATGAAGTATTGCAAGCGTCTAAATATATGGTTGCCTTGCAAATAGCTAGAGAACCATTAGTAAGAAAATGCGTTAGAGAAGTATATTTCGAAAGAGCCAGAATTAATGTATATCCGACTAAGAAAGGACAAAAAGTCATCGATGAGTCTCACAATTGTTACAGGTAATTAGTAAAAAATGTTTAAAATGAGAGCGAGATATTAGCAAGAAGTATTTTTTAGCATGAAATATTTAAAAAACAAACCAGTGAGAGATTTGAACGGAGATCAGTTTTTAAAATTGTGCTTAGCCGAAGAAGAAAACCTCCTTACTATCACAATTAATGATAATATCGAAGGGAATACATCAAACTCTTACATTGAGGAAGTCAAACAGCTCTACATCAAGGTACGATACTTAAAAAAATCGCTGAGTTATAATTATTCAACGAAATTTACTTACTTTTTAGGACGAATTTAGTAAAAATGTGCAAGATTGGAACGCGCTGAGAATGGAGTGCGTGGAAAGGGCGCTAACGAAAAGCGTTTTGCCCGATTTGAGAACGGAATTGAAGAGGACATTGTTATCAGAAGCCAAAGAATTCGTCCTTAAGGCGTGTTGCAGGAAACTCTACAACAGCATTAAAGTAAACTCTCTTTTATGCAAGTAAAAAACATAACTAACGATTACATTTTAAGATTGCTCCATACTCGATTACATTTCCTGATGAAGACGAAGACGAATGGGACACATCGAAAGGCGTTAGAGTTATGGGTTTAGCTTATGTTCCAGAATATACAGTTTCAGCATTCGCTTGCATAGCAGCTCCCGATGGGGATATCACTGATTATTTGCGTTTACCTCACATATTAAAAAGAAAAAACAGTTTCAGAACAGAAGAAAAGTTAATGAAGGTTAGTGTTCGAATGTGTAGTTAGTATTTTATTTTGCTATTAATAATTTACAGGAAGGCGATTTGCAAGCTCTAAAGAACTTCATCTTCACGAAAAAACCTCACGTGATAGCGATCGGTGGGGAATCCAGGGAAGCGCTGATGATAGCGGACGATTTGAAAGCGCTGATTAACGAATTGGTCGAGTCCGATCAATTTCCCGAAATCAAAGTCGAAATTATCGACAACGAATTGGCCAAAATTTACGCAAACTCCAACAAGGGCCAGTCGGACTTTAGAGACTATCCCGAGCTGCTGAGGCAGGCCATTTCCTTGGCCAGGAAAATGCAAGATCCCCTCATCGAGTACTCGCAGTTGTGCAACGGAGACGAGGAAATATTAAGTTTGAGGTTCCACCCGTTACAAGTACGTACATTTTGTGCTTAAATTCGCGTAAATTATACATTTTTTTATAGGAACAAATAGGCAAAGAGGAACTCATCGAAGCCCTGTGCCTGGAATTCGTCAACAGAACCAACGAAGTCGGTGTTGATATTAATTTGGCTGTACAACAGGCGCACAAAAGCAGTCTCGTGCAATTCGTTTGCGGGCTCGGCCCTCGCAAAGGGCAAGCTCTGCTGAAAGTCCTCAAGCAGACCAACCAAAGGCTAGAAAATCGAACGCAGTTGGTAACAGCATGTCACATGGGCCCCAAAGTGTTCATTAATTGCTCCGGTTTCATCAAAATCGATACTAACAGTTTGGGAGATAGGTACTATACTGACTTCGCTTTAATTACTGTAGTTGTTAATCGATAATTTTTAGTACTGAAGCGTACGTGGAAATATTGGATGGTTCTCGTGTTCATCCGGAGACGTACGAATGGGCTAGAAAGATGGCTGTAGACGCTTTGGAGTACGATGACGACGAAGGGGCTAATCCAGCGGGTGCTTTGGAAGAGATTCTGGAAACTCCCGAGAGATTGAAAGATCTGGATTTGGATGCTTTCGCCGAAGAATTGGAAAGACAAGGATTCGGTGAGACGGTTCATCTGTAGTTGGAAATTATTTATTTATATATGTTATTTAGGCAACAAGAGCATAACATTGTACGACATAAGAGCCGAATTGAACTGTAGATACAAAGATTTGAGACAACCTTTTCATTCGGCGAATCCTGAAGAGATGTTTGATATGTTAACGAAAGAAACGCCGGAAACGTTCTATATTGGAAAATTGGTTACTGCTTCAGTTATAGGTATTGCGAGGAAGAAACCTAAACCTGATCAACTCGATCAGGCCAATCCTGTTAGAAATGACGAAACGGGCCTTTGGCAATGTCCGTTTTGTTTGAAAAACGATTTTCCCGAATTATCCGATGTGTGGAATCATTTTGATGCAGGTGCATGTCCCGGTCAAGCAACGGGTGTCAAACTTAGATTAGACAATGGAATAATGGGTAATATTTCTATTAATTTTTTTTGTAAAATCTGCATTCTTAACGTTTCTTTTTGTAGGTTATATTTATATAAAAAATATTAGTGATAAACCGGTATCGAATCCGGAGGAAAGAGTAGGAGTCGGTCAATTAATTAGTTGTCGTATAATAAAAATCGATGTTGAGAGATTCAGCGTCGATTGTACGTCGAAATCTAGCGATTTGTTGGATAAAAATCACGAATGGAGGTAATTCAATACCATTAAAATCGTTGTAGTTCATCACACATTCGTAATATTTCTCACAGGCCACCGAGAGATCCTCATTACGACACGGAACGCGAAGAAAAAGACAACAGAACCGAGGCGGAAAAGAAGAAAGAAAAGCAACGTTTGACCTACATAAAGAGAGTTATAGTTCACCCGGCATTCCACAACATTTCTTATGCGGAAGCTGAAAAATGCATGGTCAACATGGATCAAGGCGAAGTCATCATCAGACCGTCCAGCAAAGGAGCCGATCATTTGACCATTACGTGGAAAGTCGCCGATAAAATCTATCAACACATCGATATTAGGGAAGAAGGGAAAACTAATGCGTTTTCATTGGGTTAGTTCTTAATTTTAATGCACGCATGTTCAAGTCTTTTAAGTACCACTTATTAAGGACCACTTTTTAAGTACCATGTGTTTGGTTTTAGGTAAATCGTTGTTGATAGGCAACGAGGAATTCGAAGATTTGGACGAAATAATAGCGAGACATGTCACTCCGATGGCGGCGCACGCTCGCGATTTGCTCTACTTCAGATACTACAAAGACTTCGAGGGCGGTCACAAAGACAAGGCCGACGAGTACCTAAAAGACGAGAAAAAGAAGAACGCCTCGAAGATACATTACGTCGTTAGCGCCGCAAAGGTAGTAGCTCCTTTATTAAAAAAATGCTCCTTTATTTGATAACGTAACGTTTCTTTTTCTTCAGCACATACCTGGTAAATTCCTACTGTCTTATCTACCAAGAAACAAAGTAAGACACGAGTACATAACGGTGACTCCTGAAGGATTTAGATTCAGACAGCAAATGTTCGATTCGATAACGTCGCTGTTCAAGTGGTTTAAGGAGCATTTTAGAGAGCCACCGCCGGGCGGAATGACACCTGGTACCCCAAGAATGTCCACTGGAAGAACGCCATACGGTAGTAATAACACACCACTTTACGTACATCTATTTACGTTATTAACTAAATTATTTTTATAGATATGAGTACCGAAGCTATTCAAAGAGTCGCGCAAAATCTCCCCAGCGACATGGTCCAAGCCCTATCAGCTGCAACCAATCAAACTCCTCACTATCCGCACACTCCTGGCGGTTACGGTGGTAATTACATCAACACAGTAAGTCCCCTTTTGTACTTTAAACGATTATTAATTTACTAATAAACTAATTTCTTTGTAGCCGTATACACCTAGCGGTCAAACGCCCTACATGACTCCATTCCAAACCCCTCACGCTCAACAGACGCCGCGGTACGGCCAACAGACGCCTTCGCAGCCGTCTCTGAGCAATCCGTTCCTCCATCCGGGCGCCGTGACGCCGTCGCAACGGACGCCCAGCTACAGGAACCTGCCGACGCAGAGTCCGATGATACCGCAGAGCCCGGTGCCGAGCCCGGGATCGCAGAGCTCGTACAGCAGCCACATGAGCCACCATACGCGAGCGAGTTACGGGGATTCGTTGAGGTTCCAGCCGCCGGAGTCGCCGAGGAATTACCCGAGCAGCAGGGGATCCTACCCCGATGGGAGGTACGGTGGTAGCGAGTCGATGGATTGGCAGAAGGCAGCTGAAGCTTGGGCTTCTAGGTCCAAATGTAAGTGTGTTGTGGAAGCGTTTAAATAGAGAATGTAATGGTTTTTATTGTTTAGCGACACCACGAAGCGAAGGTCGCGGGACTCCCAGATCGTCTGGTCACAGAACTCCACGTAATTATGATAATATGTCCGAAAGTGACCGGTCGAGGATGAAGCATATGAGCAGCAAAAGCCCGAAATCGGTACGATCGACTCCTCGTACGAATTCTTCGCCTAGATCAATGTCCTTGGGCGATGCTACTCCTTTATACGACGAAAATATTTAAAGTTACTTTTTTTATTATTTGCATTATATGATTTAATATAAAATAATTAATAGTGATATTGCGTTTTAGTTTCGCGGTTGATTTGGTAATTAATTTTCTCTTTGTGTATTGTTTCAAATAATTTTGGTGTTACTTAAGTAAATTATATTCAATAATGTTTTGCTTCTTTACCCCTACCGTACTTTTTCAATCTAATTTGATGTAGCATCACAAAACTAGTGACTTTAAAGCAAACGTAGGGATAGATGCCAAACATAATAGTAAGAGGCCATAAAAAAGAAGAAAGTTAATTGTTCAATAAATTTTCTAGCAATTGTACTAATTAATTATACAATATTATTAAAACAACAAAATATTATTACAATTTCGCTTTTAACAATGAGTAAAGGAATTTTCTTATATTATGGAAATTGGTTATTCTGGAATTTGACAGTCGACGACATTGACGTCACGATATTGCGTCACCGAGCGTGCGCCGGTGAAACTCGCTGGAAGTAGTGATTCATTTTAGTCAGTGTGTGTAAGAAAATTTTGCATGTGTAGTAGTTAAAATTGCAAGCAAGGAAACATGCTGATTAAAGAATTGTAAGTGCAAATATAATTTATCAGATTCGAACAATGCGGGTTGATCGAAGCGAAGGTCTTCACGTCGAGAAACTCGCACTTGTCAAGTGAGAATTAACCCTTCGCAATGTCAATTTTATCAATTTTTTGGGTGTCAAATTTCTGCTATACTCCTTTGTGGAGCAATTAATATTAGTTGTTGCTTAAAGGCTGCGATTGGGAATTGATTCCAGTATTGTTAGCCTCGCGTTAGTTAGAAGTTTTTACAAAGACCTTGGCTTTGGAGATGGCATTGAATAAATTTTATATTTTGTGTATTAATATTAATGATTGTATTTTCTGTTTTTTAGCCGTGTAACACTACCCCTTACTGTAGAGGAGGTGAGTTTTCAGTCATTGATAGTATAAGTAATTCCATTATATAATTTTTTTTATTCGTACGATACGTAAGAATTATTAATTTACTAAATACATTAATTACAAATGTATCCTAACATGTATTTCCAATTATTGTGCTTGTTTCGTGATAAAGAGTGTAGTATTAATTTGTTATATTGTAAATTTTGCTAACCTTTGCACAGAAAAATCATAGTCTGAGTAAAAAAATCATATGTGTAATTATCATGAAAACCTTCATTGCAGTTCTACTAATTACTAGATTTTTACATAATGAAAACGTAATTTAGCTTTTTTATTCTCAAAATAAATAATGTTTAAGTACTACTTTTTATATTCTATCTTTGTATTAGAGTTTTTAATTTTTTTTAATTACCTACCTACCCTTTTAAATGGTATGTAATTTAATCAATTTAGGTAATACAATACAGTACTTGATTAAATTTGCACTAAATTGATTACCGAAGGAAGTGGCTTTTTGTGTTATCAAAGGAATTTTTTAAAAACAATTTACCTTAAAACTATCGTACTAATTATATAATAGCAAGCCAAATAACAATAATTTGTAAGTATTAGGATTATTTTCTATTCCCCTTATTCTTATCGCAAATTTGCAGTGAAATGTGATATCATTTTTTTGTAATAAAATTGTAGATACGAAACACGTCTAATTTACGATTTGAAATAGTGGGTATTTAGTTAATAACATTTCGAAATTATGACTTCCTACGTTGTACTATTTACATAAATTTTGGCCAACAGTCATGGGTATTTAATTCAAAATCTCTAAAAAATAACTATCATATGCCATCTATTGTTTTTGAAAATTATAATTATTAATTAGGATTTAATTGACTATTGTTAACTATTTTTTGTGATCCCGTTAAAATTATCTACCACTGTAATAATTGCAATCGTTTTGAATAAATTTACTATTCCCGTGTGCTCGTTTAATATCAAAGTACCTACGGAATTGATTAAAATAAATATAATCAGTCATTACGTTATGCATTGGCTTTAAAATTATATCCTGTGTAAAATTAAAATATTTTTTAATAGTTACTGTACGTAATTTTACGAGTTTTTCATTACAATTTCGATTCGCACCCGCAATTGTTGTTTACCTTCCTTGCTTCAATTCAGGCGTTTCTATTTATAAATATGATTAAAACCGTTTTTATTATGTCGTTTAGTTTATCGGGACGATATACAGGGTGTTAATCAATTGAGTGCCGATACTTTAGGATGTGAATATTTTGGTGATTGTAGAAAGAAAAGTTTATATCAATATATGTCCTAAACCTCTTAATATACAATTTTTCCCAAGTTCATTGAGTCTGCTTTTGATATTTCGTTGAAATTTGGTAGGCGCCCATCATGCATGGAAACACTTTTTGGGAACAAAAATTAATTTTCTTCTATTACCAGTGACGTCCATGTCCTAAATTTCATAAATATATCTGGAGTAATAAAAAAATTACGATAGAAAAGTCATTTTTTGCTAAAACCAACACCCTGTAGCTCGAAAACTAAGAGGTTTTTAGGACATATATTGATATAAACCTTTCTTCTTAAAATCGTCCAAATATTCACATCCTGAAATATCTTCACTCAATTAATTAACACCCTGTATATCACAATAATCAAATTCGAAATTATTTCATTCAATAGCATTTATTCATCCGTTTATTCCAGTATCAAGTAGCTCAATTGTATAGCGTAGCCGAGGCTTCCAAGGACAATACGGGAGGCGGTGAAGGTATAGAAGTATTAAAAAATGAACCATTTACGAATCACCCGTTATTGGGCGGCAAGTACAATAGCGGCCAATACACTTACAAGATCTACCATTTGGCGAGTAAGGTGCCATCGTTCATTCGGCTGCTGGCGCCGAAGGGAAGCTTGGAAATACACGAGGAAGCATGGAATGCTTACCCCTATTGTAGAACCATTATTTCCGTATGTATTAAATGCTACATTATTTTTTAATTAATGCTTTACTCGACACAATAATTGTGGATTTTTAGGTGGTATTTTTGCATTATTTCAAACTGTTTTTGTACTGTACTATTAACAGTATAATTTGAAATAAATATAATAATAATTTTAATAGATATGTTTGGTTATTAAAATAGTTTTTCATTAATTTCGTGTCATAATTTTTCCAATAATTATGGAATTATATATTTTTATCGATTAATGATTTTTAATTTATTTTAGACACTGTATCTACTTGAGTTTAAATAGAAACGTATAATTTATTTAAAAAATATAAAGTATTTGGTTAGATTATATTTTTATCGATTTATATATTTTATTATTATCTTTATACAACGTCGTATTTTAAGATAATGAGTAGCGTTTAATTCGGAACGTGCAAATCAAAAATCCAACACTGGATAGATAAGAATTGGAAAGTTTTTAGAAATCTTAACTGTATTGTTGTAAATACACTTGATAATAATTAAATAATTAATTTTTTATAAATTTTAAGGGATATTTTGGTGTATTCGAATAAATGTAAATACGATGTATGAACAGCAATATAAGTGTTTGTTTTTCAGAATCCCGGTTACATGAAAGACAAATTTATGCTTGTAGTTGAAACATTGCACGTAGGCGACGAAGGTAATTCTGAAAATGTAAGTAATTGTTTTTTCTCTTTTTTATGTATGTGCTTTGGGACCGTCATGTCATGGTGTATCTCGCATTGTATAAAAATAAAACTAATTAATTTGGTGAATGGTGTTGCAAATGGGACATTAATAATATCGCATGCCACAAAATGGTTATGGTTCTGTTTCTTGAAAATTTCACAATTTTTCGCAAAAAGAATCCCGGTTTTATGAAAGAGAACTTCATAATCTGCATTGACAGCATGCACATTGCCGATACTGGGAATAAAGACAACGTAAGTAGACAATGATAAAAATTTACCGAAGTTGTCTCTAATGCACTACTTGATTTTCTTTTTACTCTTCACCTTTACCTTCTCTTGAATTTTTTTAAACAATTCTAACTTTTGTTAAATTAATTAACACTGGCTTGCAATTTATGTTTTTTTATACAGTTTTGTGCACGCTTTGCTTTGCTTATTTAGCCTTCTACAACGGTCGGACGGTCCTTAGCTTAAGAAATCTTTGCTGATATAGCTTCAAGATAAATTAGTGGACTATTCAGAACTCCTTTTAGCTTTTACAGGGTGTCCCATAATATGTGAACAATCTCGAATTCGGATAGAATACAAAAAAATAATTATTACCTGTATCAAAGAGGTTGCTCACAAATTGTGAGATATCTTGTTAACCTGTGGGCTTAAAAATCTCTATTATTAGGAGAGTCCATAGAGAAAATTTACATAAATCATATTAGTAGTTAGTAGATTTTACTAAGTCTGAATTATATGATAATCAGTAAAGAGGAGCAACTTATTATTTTATCCAATCATTTATTTACTTACGTTGTTTCCCTATTTTGAGTATTTTTGCTTAACAATTAGCCGTTTTATTTCTTCCTCAAATTAGCGTTTAATCTCTTATTCTTCCCTTAGTTGTAATACTCCTAAAGTGACGCATCGCTATCGTTATTTAATCCGATAAATTAAATAACCAATGAATACATTAAAAACGGAAAATAGCGGAAGCGATGGGAGCGTATCGATTCGGTAATCGATTCAGTTGGTAAAATTTTTGGGTGTTCCCCCGTTTCAGGTACACTGTTTACCCAACGATAAATTAAAGCAAAGAGAAGTGGTGCACATCGACATCGCCAACGACGACGTGGCGTCGGGCGATTACAAAGAGGACGAGGATCCCACCAAGTTCAAGTCGGCGAAGACGGGCAGAGGTCCGCTCATCGGACCCGATTGGAAGTTGCGCGTCAAACCGGTCATGACTTGTTACAAATTAGTTACCGTCGAATTCAAATGGTTCGGATTACAGGTATAGATATTATGAAAGGATTGAATTGAATTGTGGTTATTGAACATGTTTGGTTTGGTTTCAGTCGAGGATAGAAACCTTTATACAAAAGTCAGAGAGGCGGCTATTTACAAATTTCCATAGGTGAGTAAAGCGTATAGTCGGTTCGCTATCACGAGATAGTAATAAAACATTCTTGAAGAAGTAAATTCAACAAATAATATAGGTAGACGAGTGTAGAAGAAGATAGGTAGTGCTAGAGAAGGTTTCAAGGAGGTAGGTAGTGCAAGATAAGGCTAGAAGGAAGTAGGTAGTGCTAGAAGAAGCTGGAAGGAGGTTGGTAGAGGAGGGCAGAAGAAGGTAGGCAGTGTTGGATGAGGCAAGAAGGAAGTATGTAGTGCTAGATGAAGCTAGAAGAAGGTTGGTAGAGGTAGGCGATGGTACAAGTGGGTAGGAAGTGCTAGATAAGGCTAGAAGGATGTTGGTAGAGAAGGGTAGAGGAGGTAGGGAGTTTTAGATGAGGATAGAAGGAGGTAGATAGTGCTAGATGAGGCTAGAAGGAGGTTGGTAGAAAGAGGTAGGGAAGGGTGGAAGAGGGTAGAAGGAGGTTTGGTAGAGCGTTTACTTTCTTTTGCATCACAAAATTAGGTTTTATTACAATCTCCTGACGGCGAACGGAGTATAAGTGATTAAAAGTTGCGGACATAGGTGAAATTTTGATGTATTTTTTAGACAAGTATTTTGTTGGATGGATCGTTGGTATGGGCTAACAATGGCCGACATTCGTGCCATAGAGGACAAAACGAAAGAGGAATTGGAGAAGCTCCGTAAAAAGGGCGAAGTGCGAGGCATGAAGGCCGATACTGATTAAAAAAGGAAATATTTCGTCGAAAACAAAACATTAATATCTCAATAGAAAAATGAAAATAACTATCAATTTAACTTACAAAAAATAACACGCAACTGTTTGATTTGGCAGAAATTAATTTAATCGGTAGACGATTGCTTAAATTAATTTAATAACCTCCTTTCGTCGATCAAAGTTCTTCTATTGTCGCGTAAATTCGCTCTTTTAAACTTCAACAACATAACGAAAATATACTTCTGTGTGATTTTCCTACCACAACCATTCTACCACAATACCAAAGATTATCATTTATGTTTTATTTATCCAATATCCATACGAAATGAAGTGAGTAGGTGTAGTTTTTTTATTCAATGGGAGATACATTAGTTGGGCATAAAATGGTATGTGGTGCAACTTTTCCAAATATAAATTTAATCAAAAAATTGTTGATCGTCGAAATGATGTTAGAAATTTTATCAAACGGATGCTACCTAAATTGATTAACAAACTCTAGCGAAGTGAGGCTACAGACATTCCGGAAAAATAGGATAATCTAATTTCCAATTTGTGTTTAATAGTAAATTTATTAGTCGGGGGTGACGCGGTTTTTCTGAATGTCGCTAGTCTTGGAAAGTTCTACAGTATTTTTAAGCGTAAAAAGTATGACTTTTTTAAATTATTTTTTTTATTAATAATAGAGATCGTGAAGGTGCATTTAATAATATGTCTCTAATAGGAAAAATGTTAGATTTCGTGCGGGATGTTTTAACACGGTAATATTTTCATTTGTGATATGAAAGCTTAAAAACGATTGTTGCATTACTTGTATAGGATGTCCCGGACGGAAAGGTAGTTACCATACGCGTTTTATTTTCTTTTTTTTTGGTGGGTTATTTCGCAGCGTATTGTCCAGTGACAGAGGGGAAAAATAATGAAAAATTTTGTTTCGCGAAAGAAAGAATGCAGTAATTGTCCTAGTGTAAGACGCAAAATTTTTTATATTGTGTTACCTTTTTTGTTTGAATAAATTGTTTATTTTATCGTTTGGTTTTTTTTAAAGGTGGTGGTGTTTTTCATTATTTTTCTACTGGTTCCATTCCATTTAATCAGTTTGTTTAGATATGGGAATTTTCTAATAATTTTTCAGGACCTTAGTACGAACTAGAATCTAATTAAATTATAATATACCAGTCGATGTTATTGAAATAACTTGACATTCTTTGTAATTTTGGCTTTTATTACGTTAAATATCTGCTTAAAATTGGATTAGCATACAGGGTGTCCCACATAAGAACCGACAAAGAGCAGGGAAGTGTAGGGGTGCCAAAAATATGTTATTTACACAAGTTAATGTAATACAAAGTTACATTCCTAAGAAGTAATAGACCTTCAAAGTGGAGTTACAGATTAAAAAAAATAATATCAATAATACTCAAATTTAAAACAAATAAATTTGGTGTACATTATTAAATTATTACTATACTAAGAGCATTAATCGATAGTAATTGATGTATTGATGTAATTGATGTATTTTAAAGGGTTCATCAGGGATCAAATGATGATCCCTTAAAATGTTAAAGAATTTTGTTACCCGATGGATCATTTAAAAAAAATATTTTAGGCTCTCTAAACGCCCACGCTCTGTGTGAATTCTTAAGGGGGACATCCTGTATACATGTAAAAATGGAATTGATTTTTGTAAATTACAAATGGCCTAAAAAGGGTTTTTTTTAATTGCTTAATTAACCGATTCAAATCGCTCTCTTTGATTATGACCGGTGTATAAGTCAAGTGGTATGGATGAGCAAGGATTTGCTACAAAGTTTTTGATTCCAATTTTAATATTCTCGTAAAATTACGCTATCAAGTCAATTTTTTTGAAACGTTTAGTCGTGTGTGTATATATTTAATTTAGTTATTTAAATGAAACAGTAAAAACCTACCAGTAATAGAACGAAATTCTAGATGTAGCCATTCTGTATATTTTTTTTAAACTAACTTCGTACAGCTCGTTGTCCAATTTTTCGAATAAAAATGTAAATGTTGAAATTATTCATGTGGAAATTATATAGATATATGAAGAGTACTTAGAATAATTAACAAATTGCATTCTTCAATAGTTCAAAGATATGTATGTAATATTGTAAAAAAGAATTGTACACAAAATGTTAATAAAAAAGTAGGTAGACATGTTCAGATGGATTTTTGTCGCTTTAAACTCACGAATTTATCGGTTTTGTAGTCACACCCCAATGGAATTTTATTCATCTCAAAATATATTACTTATTTTAAATAAAAATAGTAAATTATTAACAAAAAATAAGTGGGAAAGGATCATGTTGTTTAGGAAAAATTAACGAAAATGAAACTCTTTGTTTTTTAAATACAGAGAAAATTTTAATTTAGAAATTTTCAAGGGATGATATGATATAAATATTTACAGTAAAAAAAGAGAATAAAACAGATCTACGATCTCTCTAAGAATTGTTCTTGGATGTTATTCCTTCTATATTATAAAATATAATAAAAAATAAAATAAATCTTCTTGTACCATATGTATCAATTCGCTAATATACATATTATTAATCAGTACTAACAAAAAGAAAACAGTTTTTTACGTATTTGTTTCGCTTTGTTTATTGGTACAGAAAATTCATTTAATAACAAAAAGAATTGTTGATTTTATTTTTTTTGAATAGTTTGTCTACGGCAAAAAAATCTATGCTATATAATAACTACATGCATCTTTATTTTATTTAGAAATGTGCAGTATAATACATTTTTTGCTAAATTTTACGCCTCAATCGCTTTCTTTTTTGTTTGAAGACAAAATTTTACGTATTTATTTAATTTTTACAATGTCAATACATTGAATACAACTTGGAAGAAATACATTTTTTTTGTATATCGCAAAATATACATTCACCTTTTGAACGTTTAAAATATTGCACTTGAAAACATTAACTGGTTGTCCTAAGGTTTTTTCCAAAAAAAACTTCAACTTATCGATAAGAACTGCTAATAAATGATGAAACCCGACGGACATCCTGTAGATTTCTTAATTTTTTTGTTAGAAAGGAAACAAACTATGGCATTTTTAATCAATAAATCTATGGGTGGATTTTATTTGTATTAAATACTTAATATTAACGATATGCATCTTTAACATTATTTCTAATAATATTTGGAAATTAAAGCTATTTGAAGTTTTCTTTTCAGTTAATAACATTTGAGATCCTAAAAATATAAATAGAAAATTAAAAAAAAAAGAAGAGACAAACGTTTACATGTTGTGGTTTTCCCAAATAAACCCACTTTGTTCAAGTTACGCAATTTGAAAATTTTGACATTTTTTTCTGTGTACAAACGAAGGTTTATTTCGGATTGCTCATTGTACTTCGACTAATTAATAAAAATTTTTGATTTTCGTAAAGGACGTGTATTGAAGGCTCGTTTCGCGTTGAACTCTCTTAAAAAAAATTGTAAAAAATCAGTACTGGCCTATTTTTAACTGGTTTTTTGATGTATGCCCTCGGCTTGAAGACTAGACGTGGATATTTCGCGAGCTATGAAAAATTTCGAAATTAAAATTAAATTCCTTAAATATCTTAATTTCCGTTGCAGAACAAAAATATACACCTGTTTCGGTATTATGTACAAAAAAACTTTGGAAGGTAGCTGGAAATAGTCATTTTAAAGTACGAAAATTACCGCTAATTAATACCTGTCTTCTTTTTCTTTTCGAAAATTTCAATATCGCAAATTACAACTGCATTTTAGTACGAATTTTATTGGATAAAGTGAATGGGATTCACTGGAACAGTTGAACTGTTTGTCTCTATTGAAATCCTCGCTAATATGAAAATTCCTTTGAACAATAAAATTGCATTTTTGGCCTTCTGGTACTCTTAAAAAAATTCAGATATAGCAATAATAAAAATTAAAAATGTAAAAGTGTATATCACAAAAATGTTTAAAACATTTTTCTTTGCTTGTTTCAGCCCGGGGGCTAACTATATATAATAATAACGGTAACAGTCTTATAATAACTACATAAAATACAAAAAAAAATAATTGAAATGAAAAAATGCCAATACGTAAAAAAATAGTTAAAATTGGCAAGAATTTGAAAAGCAAAATGCTCGTTCGAAAGCACTCTGCGATATTTCAATAAAAAATAAAAAAAACCGTTCGCTGCAAACACCGGACACGTTAAATCCGGTGATTTCAACAAATAATCACATTTCAATAAATATTTATAATAACCTTGGGGGATAAAATTTTCGTTTTTTTTTTTCATTCATCGTGATTGCACTTTGTATACCTTACAAACAAAATTACAACCCTTCACTAGGAAGTCATTGAGGTCGTCCGTAAACACTAACAACAACTAATTTAAGTATTACAGTCAATACTCCCATCGTTCGTCTTCGTTTTCTTGCTTTAGGTTTTTCTGTTCACTGTCCTCCCGTTTACTCGCACTGTCATCGGTCTCCTCGGGCTCCTCGTCGCACTTTTCCTCCCCTTTGCCCGGCCGCTCGTTGTCGTTGCTCATCGACGACGCGTCGCTCTGGTCGTCCTCGAACCTGTCCAGCACCGCCTGCGGCTCGACGCGCACCGTCTCCTCGGCGCCCCGCCTGCCGTAGTCGTCGCCCGTCTGCATCACGCACACGCCGTTGATGATCACCTCGTCGCCGGCGCTCGCCTTCTCCTTCTCCTCCTCCCAGTTGGGGTTCACCCACTGCGGCGCGGCCGGTTTCCGGCGCGACGACCGGCCCTGGTTGGGCGGCACCTCCTTCGGCTCGACTTTCACGGCGCCGCGCAGGCTGCCCGTCGACATGTTCGAGTCCTCGGAGCCGACGTTGCTCTCGACGTCGTCGTCCTCGTCGAAGTCGCCGGGCTCGCGCTTCAGCGACGACATGGAGAGGTCCAGGCCGCTCATCTGCTCCTTCACGGCGTTGTTGAGGGCCGACGAGAGGTCCATGTCGCCGGTGGGCAGCAGGCCCCTGCTGATCAGGGCCGCCAGGTTGGCGTTGGTGGCCAGGTAGGGAGGATACGGCAGGGGCACGCCGCCGAGGCCCATCCGTTCTTTGGACAGCTCCATTAATCTTTGGTTTAAGAGTACCCGGAATTGCACGGGATCGAAGGATTGCTGGTTGCTGGTTTGATCTCTGGGTGGCAAATCGGAGGGCAGACCGTGCGGGACTTGTTGCTTCAATCGCATCCTGTGATTGTGGAACCAATTCGTGATGGTCCTGGAAGACAGTCCCAGTTCGGTCGCCAGGAATTCGATGGTGTTCACGTTGGGGTAGGGGTCCAAGTGGAAGGCCAGCCGCAGGGCTTCCTTCTGCTCTTCGCTGAACAGCACGCGCTGCTTCTTGGCCGACGGCGGGCCGGGGCCCGGCGAGTTCGAGTGATAGAACTCGGAGGTGTCGTTGGAGGAGGTGTCGCTGCTGTTGTCGTGCGCGCCCGCCCCCGACGATCTCCTCCTCTTGTTCGCCTCTCTTCTTTCGTTCTTCAGCGCTTGCAATCGATCGACGTTGTGCGCGTCGTTCAGCCACAGTTGCATCCGAATGAAGGGCTCCCGGCCTTTGATGCTGAGCATGTGCCACGGCTTCGGTTTGGACAGCAACTCGCTAACTGACCCTTGGGACAACCCGAGCACTGCCTCTCCAAATATCTACAACAGAACCAAACCAATTAATATCAAACAACGTTATTTTCGCGTTAGAAAACCCACCTTTTGTCCGATATTGTTGGCGAGCAGGGCTTCTTTGATCTTGGTGGTGATGACTTGAGTATCTAAATCTTGCGTAAGAGCTGCCATTTCGTAGACGCTGGGCGAGATGTGCTGGTGCATGTTCCTCAGGGGCGCGTGCTGTTGGTTCATCGGAGCGTGGGGGATGACGTGCGGGCTGTGGTTGGATTTTTTCATGAGATCTTGGTTTTGGAGGTTGATGGCGTGATGTGGAGGTAGACCCGGCGGCGTGAGGAGCATCGGCGGCGGCGGCGGTTGGGGATTGGAGCTCTGCGGCGGTCCCAATTGCAAACTGGGCGGCAGAATGTTCTGGGATTCTTGCATTTTGTTGAGAAGGCCCGCCGCTTCCGATAGCATCTTGTTCGTGGGCGTCAATGGTTTGCTGATAGACGAGCAAGCTGGCGGAAGAATAAAATTCATTGCTAAAATTACGTATTACCAATGCGAATTTAACGAAAGTAGTCAAAAGGTTCGATTAGACTTTAATAAAACTCACCTCCTCCGTATCCTCCGGTCCGCATGAGTTTCTCCGGAGCGATTTTGTACTGGCTGGCTACCAATTTGTGGACGGCATTGTCGTCTTCGAGGAACATCTTCATTCTGATGAACGGCTCGCGTCCCTTTTGCGTGAGCATGTGCCAGGGCTTCGGCCGGGCCAACAGGTCGCTCACCGACCCTTGCGAGAGCCCCAACACGCTCTCGCCGAATAGTCTTTGGCTAATGGAATACTGACTCAACTGCTCCTTAACTTTCTTAACGATATCTTCGGTGTTCAGATTGTTGTAGAGGTCGAATTGCTGCTGGGTGATGGGAGGTAATACTGCTTTGAGCGGCCGGTTGTTGGGAGTGCTCACCGGCTGCGTGGGTGGTTGTGATATGAGGGAATTCGTGATGCTTGCCATCCGTTGCAGCGGCGACGCCGCCGCCGATCCGGAAAAATCGTCCGAAGGCGTCATTGGAGGTAGAATGGAATTGCCCAGCGGGCTGGAGGCCGTCGAGCCGGCGTTCGGCTGCGTTCCTGGCTCGATCTTCGGCCGCACCAAGCTGAACGCGGACCCAGAATGGCGCGACACGTGATCGTCCTCTTTGTCCTTATCGTCCATGCCGTTCACCATTTTCGATTTATCTTTGGGTATGGAGAGGTCTTGCACGCCGCCGTTGGTGGTTTGGTGCTGTTGTTGGTGGTGATGGGCCAACGCTTGCTGTTGAATGGCGAGTAGGCTGAGAGGCATCTGCGTGGGGTTTTGGCCTTGGTTCAACTTAGCGAATTCCCTGTGATAGGCGTCTAACACCATGCGTAGATCCTCCGGCGTCCTTTCCAACGAATTCCCGCTGTAGAGTTGCGGAAGGAAAAAACTTTACATTAGTTTAGCACGGCTCTATTATTTTTCTGTTAGATGTTAGTCGTTTGTAGTAGTTTAGACGTGTAACTCACCCAGGAAACGGTCCGTCTCTTTGGCCGCCGCGGAAATCCTCCATCCGCCTGCCCATCAGCTTGGCCAGCTCCTCCTGGTATATCCGCACGACCTTCTCCTGCGAGATGTCGTCGTTCTCGTACTTCTTCAGTCTCTTGTTGAGCGAGGAGTCGCGCGAGAAGGGGCTGCCGCAGCCCAGCGGCGACTTCGAGTCCTCGTTGCTGTGGCTGTCCTCGGGCTGTTGCTGGTGCTTCATGTGCTGCTGGAAGCTGGCGTCGTTCAGGATGTGCACCAGCCGCTCGTCCGGGTGGTCGCCGTCGGCGCGACCGAACGGAGGCATTGCGGCTTCTTTGCCTGTTGATGAAAAATGGTCTGTAATAACGATAATTTTGTCTTAGTAAATGTTCCACAATTGTTGAGTAGACAGTGGGCCCGTATTTAGCGCCTCTGTTTAACTTTAGAGTGACTCTATGGAGTTACTAGGGAGTTATGGAGTAACTAGGGACTCGAGACACTCTAATGTTAAACTGAGGCGCTGAATACAGGGCCAGTGGATTTATCAATGCGCAATAAAATAGGGAGCTACTGGGTATTGATAGATCCACTTTTTAGTGCAATAGATTCAGATAATCCAACATAAGAATAATAAAATTAACCAAATCAATTTCATTGCGCTTTATTCTTAAGTTGGTTTACCTTTATTAATGATATTAAAATATAATAGAAGAGTGCAACAAGACTTGCAATTTATTTGCATAATTCTGCTGTGCGTAACGGCGTATCAATCGATTAAAACATCTATAAATAACTCTTTTTTTTTTTTAGGAAAATTTAATGAACTTTCGGTATTTATCCCGTTAATAGCCTCTCGAAGTTTGAAGGGTACATTCGGCGCAACAAAAGTGTCTTTCAATTCGATTTAATCGGAAACGCTATTGAAATAAATTTATGCGATTTGTTAAGGATCCGTTCCCGTTTGTTTCGCTTTTTTTTATACGTACGAAACATGCAATTCGAAAAATATCAATCGGTTATGGCATGCGTTTGACGTGTTGAATGGTCGGAAAAAATCGTGTCCGTTAGGTCTTGAATAATTTAATAATGTTCGAGCCGATGCGTTTTACCGTAGACCCATGAAAAATTTTTTTTAATCGTTTTAACGATACGAAAATATTCAATATACGAGCATGTATATCGAATGTAGGTGGCAATAATTGACGCATTTCCGCGTTGTAATTTCTATATTTAATCCGGAATATAAATGCACGGTAATTTATTTCTTTTTCCTTATAAATAACCCGCCTCATAACAAATATTTCATTGTTTCAATAATGATATCACCGATGCACTTAACGTGGTCCTTAGGTGATATATTGGCGGACATTATGCACGTTAGACGTTTATAACCGAAATTTATGGTTATTTAATTGACATTGACGCTTTATTTTCGGAGCACACGGTACACAAAGGCGTACATCATTGACTCGAAATCGCCGAAAAATCGTTCGGGTCCATAGGCGTCGAAAATCGATCGATAGATCTCGCTATTTCCAGCAACAGAATCGTTATTATCGGTTAGTTTCGTGAAGATTGCTTCACATTTGATCGGTGCTTTATTACTTAGCGTTTAAGGAACGCTAAAAAATTACAGATTTGTAGTTTTTGTTGAATTTTTTCGGTTTCTACGCCAGTGCGTCGATATAGGAACATTGATACAGGCGTTGAACGGTTGCCAAAGAATTTTCTTCATTAAAATTGTTGCGCCGATTGCTTTTGTTTCACGAAAGTCGCATCCAATCTGCCTCATTAATTTCGAGACAATAAATTTTCACGGACGACACGTTCGTATTAGAACAAACGAATCGATTTTTTTCGCCTGACTCAATTTTATATTCGTCTTATCTATCAAAGAGGATTCGAACTAAATCTAAATATAATCCCTCTTATTACCGTCAATTCTATTTATTCTTCACTATGTAGCGTAGTGGACGACAAAACGAGAGTGTATTGAATCGAAAAGAATAATTTAAAAAACTATGAAGCGTAACGACATTAACAAATATACGTTAATAATTAGTTAATTAGCCGATCGTTATATTTATCGAAGAGTAACGGTCGTACGATAAAACGATACATGTATTCAACAGAATGTAAGTACCATCTGCATTCATGAACACTAATTACATACATTTAGCGTGAATATTACAGTCTGGGAACGAAATTAGATATCTTATTATATTTATCGAAAAAGTACGGGACCAATTATAATATACATGTAATATAAATAATTCATGGCGACCGGCAATTATACGGCTTCGCTCAGACCGTAGCGTCTCTATTATGCGTTTTTTCATGTTAAAAAATAATTCGAGATTAGTCGATTGTGCTGTTCCATGAATCACATCCTGTCGCTCAGGTAATATCCAAAGGAAATTAGTCCGAAGGAAGCGAAAGTTCGGTTCGATTCCTATAGATTCCGGCCGAAAATGTTAGAGAGTGGCGGACACTTTTGCGAAATGAGGAAAGCCGCGATGGCGGGGAGATGTGTAGATATAGAAAATGCAAAAAAACTAACAAACGGTCGTGAAGGAAGTGCCGGCGTAATTGAAAAATACATAAAATTCTATTGCCTATTGTGGTTTTCGCTAGTCTATTGCTTCATTTAAATGTTTCTTCATTTTATGGCCGTTGAAAAAATTCGGGTTCGCAAACAAACCCAACACTTTGTAGAGCTGCATTTTACTCGATTCGAAAAAGTTTTCGATTTATATTCAATAACGGTAAAAAAATTCACATTGTATCCGAAGGTTTTATTCTAATTAACGGGCGATTGCGCCAATGACAATAAAAAGGCGAAATACTTAATAACCTAAATCTGCCTCAGTTTCAAAACAATCGTCCGTCTTTCGCACGCATTGCAAAATTTTATTATTTTTTTAATATATCTCATTCTTTTCAAACGATTGGAAGATTTATAATGTGTGTCAAATGGATTTGTATGTTGCCTACCGTTAAGCTTTGAATAGATTTTTTTAAATTTTTATTTTAATGGTTTTATTGTTAATTGGACCGGTAATTAAGTGCAAAACAGTTTTTAATTAATTAAGTATTGTATACGAAATGGCTGGGTAAATAAATTTATGTTTGATTTATTGCAAAACTACAGTTATTTCGTTAAAATCGGGACAATAAGGTGGATTAAGTTGGAATAAATTGATAAATTTATAACAAACGGATGCAGACGTTATTCGTATCAAACGCAATTTTTCCGTAATAAATTCGATATTGGATATATTTTTGGAGAACGAATAACGATAATTTTTCGTTTTGCGGTTCACCAATTTCGCATCCGGTTGGATTTCATGAAATAATCAAAACATATTCTTGCCATTCCGGGAAACAAATAATTAGATATCTCTGATAAATATTGATGATTTAATTTATTATTCCGTTAAAGCGACTGTGCTTAGCATAATTTTTCGACGGGTTTTCCGAAAAATCTAATCTCACCACTAATGATACAACTAATAATAAAATAATCAACGTTAAAAAAGCCGATAAGAGGCTGGGAGAGCTTAAACGACGCTCAGAAAAATTCCCATTTGTTTAATATCATTACACAAAGAACAACCAATAGTTAGGTAATAATGATGAGATTTAAATTACATCCCATCGGGATCGACAGGCGGTTTTTTTTTCATTTTATTTAGGGCCCTGCGATCATTTGTAAAATTGATTATAGGTAATTTCGTTTGATGATTTTTAAACGCAATTATAATCTCGTTACCGTTCACGTTGATTCGCGTCATTGAAGGGCGATAGCTCTTTCGAAGTTTATCGTTTTTTAATTGACACGTCTTTCGATAAATCGACGCTCCAGCATCCCTCTCGTGGACCCGATGGAAAAAAAATATACCGCTCTGGATTTTCAACACAAGCATTATTTCCTCTTATGGATTATCCTAATTTTAAAGGAGTATTTAGTATTGTTTTGATTCCAAAAAAGATCTAGATAAAGAAGTGTATATAAAAAATTTAATGTTATATAGCGAGTTTATGGGGGTTGAATTAACTGTTTTTTATTATAGTGGGTTTCATTGGTCTTGTACGTTGAATGAGAATGATTCGAGCCGAGTTTGCGACAAATATCGTGATCGTGATTCATTTACACAATTATGTGTACGCCATAAATGTACGTTTTACAAAATCTATGGGAAATCGTTACTACACCGATGACTATAAAACTTCGTAGCGCTTTCACGGCACCTTCGATTCTATCGGCGGTATTATAAAAAACTTTTTTTTAATACACAGCATTATCAGTTTTTACACATGCGATATACTCGACACGCGATCGTATCGGATCCCTTCTTTCTTCTCTTGGCTTTCCGATTGTTTTTCCACATGTACCCGCGGCGTTCGAACGCCTTTTTCCATTTACGACGCGGCCGGGGTTAATTGCGATGGGGTTAAAGGAACCGCGAAGGGCGGTGGTTGATTTTCGCCTTATTTCGACTGTATATCGTGCCGGGCGAAAAGATTTGTCGGGGGTCGAAATTTATGTATAATTTCAATGAATTTGTATACCTAATCGAATGTAGTTTGGCTACTGTATTTTCAAGAACTTTGAGTGAATTTAAAGAAGCGAAAGAACTCATTGATCGAGTAGAGATCGATGGATTTCCAGTGGTGTATTTCAAAATATTTATTTAACTTAGTCAATGCATCTAATATCATTTTCAATTGCCAAGCTAAATAAGATGAGGTATATTTTTATGATTCGATATTGGTAATTTCTTCCTTTATAGGTTTAGGTAATTATTAGAAATAATGAAATATTCTAACGCTAAATTCGATTCAAACTTTCATCTAACAAAAAGACGGCGAGCGAACAATAAACGATAAATATACGAATTCGAAAAGAAATCGCTCGTTTTCCGCGCTGTTATTAAACGAGAATTAGTATTAGAAAACCGTTCCTTTTCGTCTACACAATCGTGAGACGATAGTCTTCCTTTCGAGATGACATTTTAATATTTGTATTTATCTTGAATGGGTTACCGTCGACCGTTTTTCTATAATAATCCGGCATTTAAATCCCTCTTCTGCCGTCTTTACTCGAAGTAGAATTTCACGAGGCAATTACTTTTTCATGGGAGTGAGCACCGGACATATTGTCAACGTGAATCTGGATCAAAACCGTATGATTATTTGATTATCTATCTAACACACGCTATTTTAAATCCTCTCTATTTTGCTTCCATATCGAAATCTAAGTATTAAATCAAACGAGTTTGGGAAAATTAATATAAACGCATAACTGTAAAAGACGTTGATAACACGAATTTGCTTACTTATATACTTGATAAAATAATACCAGGAAATAGCAACAAAGCCTTAATTATCACAGTTGTATGCTAACGATACAAATAAAAGAAATACGTTAGAACAAACGTAATTAAATCTGAATTTTATTCTAATTACACATCATAAAAGCTAACGTGGTTTTTTTCTTAGTAAAAATCGTATCTGTATCGTAACGATTCCGTGTCGTGTAACAGAAATATTTCCGATAATTTCCCAAACGTTGGATAATTATAGCCCGAAGATACGACGTTTCTAAATAATTTTTATTACAAAAAAATAAGTATCGCTTATAAGACGAATATATCGATGCACGCAACGCGTAATGAGGTTACTATTAGATGATGATGAAAAAAAAATCGTTATCGAAGAGAAAGATGCAAACGATTGCGTTGAAGATATACTCAATACGAAGGAAGAGGAAGTAAATTTCATCAAAAATCTTACCTTTTTTGGGTATTAGGGATTTCAACAGAAGTATGGCGTTTTCGTCCATGGCCCAAGCGTGCATCTTCCTATAACTGTCCCGGCCCTTCTCCGTCAGCTTGTCCCAAGGCTTGGGCTTCGACAGCAGCTCGGACACCGTCCCTTGGGACAGCCCCAACACGTACTTGGCGAATATCCTCTGGCCTATGTTGTGAATGGAGAGCAACTCTCGCACTCTCCTGGCTATATGGAGAGTATCTGGAAAAATAAAAGTATTACTGCAAACATAGTGTAGTGAAAAAAAATTGATGGTAAATTGGGCACAAAAGGGATCATAGATTTTAATGCTGTAGATAAATTAGGCGATAAAAAATATAAAAATAAAGATACAAAGGGTCCATACATTTTAATGTTGGAGGTAAATTGGGTGCAAAAGGAATTGTAGATTTTGATCGTATAGGTGAATTGGGCGCAAAAAGGATCATAGGTTTTAATGTTGTATAGGTAAATTGGGCGTAAATTGGGGTAAAAGATAAACATACCTAAATTTTGTGAAGCGTATTTGTCGATGTTGAACCGCAGCATCTCCTGCAACCTGGCCTCCATGGGATCGCCTTTGGGTATCAAGCTGTCGCCCAACCGGCCGATCATCGAGCCGGGCGGCATGCCCAAATCGTCGGCGAACTTGAAGGGCGGCCGGTGCTCGTCGAACCTGTAGGGGCTCTTCAGGCTGTCGTCGCTGCGCAGGAAATTGTTCACGGCGCACATGGTCGACAGCGTGATGTTGTTGTTGCTGACATGGTGGTTGTTGTTGTCCTCCTGCGGGCTCTTGGGGTTGCCGTTGACGAGGTGCTCGACGGGCGACTGCCTGCAGCCGTGGTCGGCCGGCTGGGGCGTCGTGGCGGCGCTCTTCTCCGGCGCCGGGGCGTCGGCGTTGACGGGCGTCGCGCACTTCAGTGGGCCATCTAAAGAAGCAGAGGGTGATTTTGGTGTTACTCGGTTTTGCTCGATGCTCCTGCGCCAGGTGGAGACGATCTCCTCGCCTAGCAAGCTACCGAACGCGTCAACGTTTTGGAACGGGGGCGGAAGGTTGTTAGGAGGAGTGACCGAAAGGGCAGGGGTTTGCGTCGAGTGGCGATCAACCCCTAGAAAAAAATGGAAAAATAGTGTTACAAAACAGAGGTAGAGACAGAACCGAGTAATATCTATATTTAGGAAACGGAGGTGTCGAGGGTATTATGTGTTAGTTACAAAGAAATATAGGTGAAACGATTAATTAAACGTTTATAAACTTCATGTAAGAATTCACGTCGAATGTTAATCATTGATCATTCCGGCCCGAAAATAAACTCGTGTTTTCAACGGGACCGCGATTTTTTCTAGAGAAAAAAACCCACACACGTCGACAAGTACATAAAACGAGATAATATCGCTCAATTTTGATTTATGGAAACTCGCGAATTCCGACGCACCACTAAATCTATTTTCTACGCATCGAAACGATTTCGTTTTTGAAGAATTACGACAACTATGAGAGACGCCTTAACAACGGCAGTTAAAGATTGAAATGACACTATAAATCTTTCCCGCTGGAGAATTTCTCTGCAACGAGCCGCGCAATGTCTCCAAAATTGGTTAACACAAGTAAAATAAGTTAATAAGGAAATATTGTATAAAATTTTGCGGACTTGTAGTGTCTACAACAATAAATCAAACTAATAAATTTATAATGTTTCGTTGTGAACAAATAAAGACCTTCAATTGTCGTAAAACTTCCATTAACGTCAACGGAAAAAATAGAAACTAGCTCGAATTTCGTAAAAAATATATATAAAAGAATGAAACGGTTCGCATGGTGACGAAATTATCTATACGATTGTTCATAAAAACAATAAAAGCGATGTTTCCCAAGATCTCGCAATGATAAATTGGGTTTCTTAAGGCAGTACTTACATTTTAAAATATTAGTTAAAGCAATAACTAAATTGTTGCATGACATTTTAGAAAGGTATTTCGCCGACCGGCTAATTACCCGAGTGTTTTAACCTTAAATTTAATTAACACCCGTTTTTTATTATTATTAACGTTGACAGCGTATGACAAATATATAGAAACTTAAATTATACCGTAAACAACAATTAATTCTAAGCACACACACCAAATTACCTTATTTAGCAATTTAATCACACTTAAACATCGTTATTAAATATTAAATAATTGTCCAGTAAGTAACTGCCCTTATATTCCGAATTATAATCGCCTGCTTAATTATTCATTTCGATTCCATCGATCGCTCGAAATCTATATCTTTAATAACTACGAAATCCTGCATCAGAATCCTTCCTATTCCCCTCGAATTTAAACGCATTACGGTCGAAAACAATTAGAAAAGAAAGTCGATGAACATGTGGATTAACATACGAAACTACGCGAAACAATTATAATGATTGCGCCGTGTCGAAATTCTAAACACGCCGATTTTACTGCTACGATTTTTGTAACAATTCGGTTTAAACCATTGGCGTAGATCAAGATCATCTTCACTCATTAAAGCTGTATGGTTTTTAATTAATGCCTATACGTGTTCCGCCGCTGTGGTAATTTAATAACGATTTTGGAAGGAATCAAAGAAGCTCGACGAGCCGGCGAGATAAAATCTTATTGTTTCATACAGTTAGTCCCACAAATTTCCCTCCCGAAAAAAAACTATACATAGACATAATTCATGTACATCGGAATAGCTAATCAGTATTTTTTAATTAGATCGACGTTCTCGAGCGTAAAGAAGGAAATCATGAATCAAAATCAAAAGCAGATCCTTTGCGTCGATAATGATTTTTATTGAGGTTAATATTTGAAGTTTGATGAGTTTAATACTAAAAAATCCGTATCTAAAGGATCTAATTTGTTGGGTATACGGGTAATTAAAAAAATCGTAAAATACGATTACTCGCTGTGGTAATTAATAAGTTTTGTGAGAAAGTTTCATGAAATTTACCTTCGCTGTCTCTTAAAGGTGATTTATCCCTGGATTCTTGTGACAAATTTTTCGTTTTCTCTAATAATAATTCTATGTTTTTTCCATCCGGATTGTTCCCCAGATCGGACCTTAATAAACTGAAATTGAAATGGTTTTTAGTCGAGAAATTATCGAATGAACAAGTCGAGCGTGTACCTAATTTCTCTTTTTAATTCTTCGTAGTCTTTTTGGGCTTCTAATTTCGTCTCTAATCGCAAAATAAGTTGCCGTTTTTGATCCAATTGTTCTTCTAATCTATTTATTTGTGACATGGAAGATTCTTGTAATTTCGACAGACATCCTTGCAGCCTTTGTATTTCCTCGACAAGTTGGTTTATCTGCAACAATAAAAAGTAACATTTCAATCAATCAATCAATCAATCAATCAAATGGAAATAGAAAATGTAATATTCCTTAAGAACGCAAATCGCGCATTATCGATTGATTTCCGTTCGACTGTAAACCTTATCATGAATATTTGCTATAATATACGCATTCACAGAAACATTTCTCAATTAATCGAGCAAAAGGGGTGCCCTTCCACCCCGCCAAATTAATCAATGCATCCGAATTTCACCTTATAGGGGCCGGGATTAATATAATGTCTTCATTTTCCCGCAGCGATTGATTGATTTTGATGCCACGTCATCACTAATTGTAACTTCTGTGAAGCGAGTTTCTTCGGATATTCAATTTCGGGATTTTGAAAGGGAAACCTATCGATTCCGATAAGGGGGAGGCGGGTAAATAATTACTTAGCGGGGGATTTTAACTCTTTCCGCGGATATACATTTAGAAATTGCTTGCCAACGGTATAACGTGTATTATCTATACACCTATGTGGATTATACAAACTAAAGAGAAATTTAAGAGATTGGATTTTTTTTTTTTGGATAGAAGGTACTTTGTAATAGGGTTTTGGGATTTAACTGGTGAATTTTCAATTTGACATAAGTCGTTTCACCTTCGGTGATAACGATGGGGAATTTATTGGCGATGGAAATGCAGAAAGAGCGGACCGGATTGACGGATGGGGGAAAATCCGCCGGGCCTATTCGACGATTCGTTTGGATGGCCCGGAATTTCGGGGACGGTCAAAGGCGATTTCATAAGTCATATCACGTTCGTGGGGTTATACATTTTTTTCGGGATTGTTTTTAATCGTTTAGCACTCGGCCTGCCTACGAGATATTCAATTAAAAATGCCGGCTTTTTAAACCTCCCCGTCATAAATCGGTTTCGAAGCGACAGTCAATTCGGTTTGGATTTTTTGGCGCAATTAGCGCGTCCGCCAAAATTTGAAATTTATATAAAATATGCTACTTAATATCCTTTTATTCTATTTTTTGCCTTTAAGTACGGAATTAATATCAGTCGGGGTGGCTACGCAAAAAACTACCCTCTACCCTCGCAAGGTATCGGTTTGAATTATTGTTTTAAATATATCAAACGCTCCCGCCGTCGCTCCCTTCTGTTCGATTTTATTTTTTTACTTTTAATAGCCCGCGCCGGATTATCAAACTAAGGGTTTCCACTTCCAGCCGAAAAAAGAGCGGATGAATTATACCTTCCAAGTGGAAAGCGAAGACGATTTTTCATGCCTCAATCGCGCTTTTCTATCTCGAAATTCGGATCGAAAATTGCGACTTTCTAGTCGATTATACTTTCGGGGAAGTTTTAAAACGTACATCAATTTTGGTGTTGCGTAATGGCAATTCTTGTTTTCGAATAAAATGCAATGTGTTAAACTTTTCCTATTAATCCTAAATAAAATTAAATTTAAGCAGGTATTATAGGTATTTAATTGATATTATTTATCAAAAAAATTCTGTGGTATGTAAGTTTTAAAATTTAAATATTAATATTCCTGATAACGTCATGTTATAAGCTAATAAAGCGTAAGAAAATAAACACCCAATATCCAATAACAGTCGAATCTATTTTTAAAGCGAATTTCGTATTTTTTGCGTTAATAATTCGTTTTAAATTACCTAGAAATTTCGGAAAGTTTGAGAGATAATAACATATGGACTGATTCACTTAATGAAATAATTCACAAACAATTAAAATTCAATTAGAAAATAACGCGGATGGGAAACATTTCGGAGTTACTAAATATGGAATGAAATTACTATAATATCAATTTAATTACCCTAATACAGCAACTGCACTTTTTCGAATCGAAACGTTGATTAGCTGCGGCAATCGACTGTAGCAATTTCCTCTTTCAAAGACCCTTATCAACGAAAAAACAATAAAAAACAAACATATATAAACAATTTCCTGCCTTTTTATCAAACAAATATTCACGTTCAACTCCTGCTAGAACAATATTATACTACATGTCTCCGTTTTTTTCGTACTATCTACTCATTTGACGCGTTGATAGTAAAACACTACAATGACATATGGTTTAGTTCATAACTCAATATTTAAGGTTAATGACTCATTAAAAAAATTAAAGCAAATATACGTTCTCGGAAATACGCTGTATAATTCACCGTATAGGTCTTATTAAAGCAATAACAATTGTTTGTCCTTTGTATGTGTGTGTGTTTGAGTTCCGAAAGAAATAAACTGAAGATTGCCGTTTAATTTAATCTCATTTAGAAATTTCTTTAGGTATATATTTTTCAGATAATTAGATAATGTACCAAAATGGGTTCAGTCAACTTGCTCGATTGTAAAGCACAAATATTTGATAGAACTCACTTTCTGCTCCTGTAGAGGCATAACGACCGATTTCGTCACATCTAAAATTCACTCTATCATGTTAAACAATATTGAGATAACTGAAATCAGATCCCCAGAAAGCGACATATATCACAAATAAATGATGACTTTAATATTTTAATTTATAATTAAGCAAACAAATTCATGATAAATATTGTCAACACTATCATCTTCATATCTGATATTTTTTTCGAGAAAATATAAAGAAGAAACATCTGTAAATATTATAATAACCTGCTAATGTATTGTAAAATAAATCATTAAAAAATCGAGAAAAATAATTAAAGGCAGATAAGCGATTTTATAAGGTTGGGAGGCAGATAAGGTGGAACGGCGCCTAAGTCGTCGTTAAACATTTTATAATGCAAATACCTGCTGATTATATTATTTCAATTCTTCTCATGAATATTAATTACAATAGAGTACACAATGAACTACTCAAATCCTATCTATACAAATGCAACTGCAACTTTTCAATTTTAAAAATTAACTCCAATAAAAATATTTCAATTTACCATAGCAAATTGTTTATATTAAAATTAAGTAAGAACCCTAATTTTTATTCGAATGTGCGCATCCGTAACAAATAATTACCCGCATTTCGAATAAACTATCTAATCATTTCAGAGCCACAATAAAATACACCTTTTAACGGAGGCGTTTGCTCCTAATTAAATCCCCGTTCGTAGTTTCGATTGAACAAATAAAATTATTTAAAAATAATTACGGACTTATTCGAGCCGTTTATATAACTATTTTGTTTTCCACGCTACCTAAGTATCGTGTAAACTGAGATAAGTGAAATTGGGTTAAAAATACATCAATAAAAGTTGATGATTATGCAAACGCTAACGCGAATTAGATATTATTATTATTACACTAAATCGACAAGCGAAAAAATGACGAATGTTAGTTAAATATTGAAGTGGAATTTGCGGAACTTGTAGAAAAGAATATCTTCTTTAAACAACTCATCAATAGTATAAGCTTTTCAACAGCTTTCATTTCTATCAATCCAACTCCCTTTACGAGGGTGGAAAAAAAATTACTCGGAACGAAACCGAGCGCGTTAAGAACGGAATTAGATGAATTGTGGAGGATTAAAAAATATGTAATTAAATCGAAACCGTTTCCAGTATTTTCCAGCGTATCCTCTCCGCGTAAGTATACACACGCACATTGATCTTGATCAAGTCACCTGCGTATCTCCGATTTGAAATACTTCCAACCCTCACCCTCTCTTAATACATATCCTACGATTGGATTTTGCATTAAGCGGAGGGCAAAATGGCACATCAGAAAAGAGAATAGGATGCCATTTTACTAATTAGAATCGTTCCCAAACGTGCCGTTATTCTAGAACGCTTTTTTTCCTCGTCTTCGATATTCAACGATTAAAAATATACGAAACGGTGCTTTACGAGATTGTGTATATTACACTAAGAAAAATGTTGCAATAAAAGCTCGTTCGGCAACACAAAGGCGAGTAAAAAAAAAGTATCCCCCTTCGATGTCGCCGTTATCCGATGGTAATAATTCCGGCTACCGTACAGTAGATATAAATTTTTGAAAAATCCACATAAAAATGGCTTATTGCTTGTTTTACAAACGATTGCTTGTAAAAACGGGAAAAAGATAAAGTGTATATGAACGATAAAGATCGCAACGGACATAAATTCAAGACGAGCCCATCTTATGGCTCGTTCGAATCTACTCGATAAACTTGCCATTTTTTAACATCAGCGGCGGAGCCATCAAATCTACATTTCGTTACACATTCACAACGAAATGACGAGGTAATTAAAAAATTATAATCCCATTGGAATTTTAAATAGATCCATAAAGCAGGTCTCAAACAATACACCAATATATGAATTCTGGCAATAAATTTAGCTTTAAGAAGTCACTGTATAAAATTGAAAGATCGTACGAACAAAAAATTAAATAGATACTCCTGAGATATCGAACGAACGAAACTTATTGGACGAACGGTTTTTGCTTTTATTTGTTTACGGAGCACGTTTGTTATTTAATTGGTCGGCAAACGTAAAGATTTCTTGTTTGTACATCCAATCCAATTATGTACTTGTACGGGACGAGTATTGTAGATAGATTTTTATCGGCCATATTTTATTCGCGATGCGATATTCAATCGTTATCGCTTTACAAACCAAGGCGCAAGTAATTTTTTATTACAAAAACCTATTTCATGCAATTGTAATTTCTTAAAACAGACTGCTAATTAACTTTCCTTCACTATAAATTTATATGCTTTACTGTAGATAAATCATTGCTGTATCATATGCAGAATAATTTTCGAAATGTTATCTAATTACTAATTGACGTAGGTATTTGAACTTCCAACGGAATTAAAAATTTTACAGTCGAACAGCGACAGCGCGAAACGTATAATTTTAGTGTGCAGTGCAAACAATATTTTTTATGGCGAGGAAAATTTAAACTGATGATTCGAGATTATAAGAATTGGTTAATAATTTAATCGTTCAAATAGCTGATAATGTGTTTGACTTTTTGTTTTATTGTGTTATTAAATCTCCCATCAGCCAATAGCGGAGCGATTTGCGCCTCTATTTGTATTACGTTA